CGGCGTCTCTGGCGGCTGCTGGCAGAGGCACAGAAAATCAATAGAATGCAAAGGGCCTCTGCATGGGAATCTCGGCTGGCGAAACAAAAGGGCAGGGGACAGGGTCTATGGGATATGGAGGCTATAGGATTGAGGCTCGGGGACACTGGACAGCGAGCTGGAATTGTAATGGCCGACCGGCTGTCGTCTGTTGCATTGTAACACTGGCCGACCGGCTGGCCACAAACAAACAAACAGCAGCAACAGACACACAAAAAAGCAGAGGAGTGGAAATAGAAACGTAACTAAAAAAAATAGGAGGAAAATCAATAGAGCAAAGGCATGAAGCAACAAACAAACAAACAAACAAACGAACAAGCCCAGCGAAAAACCAGCGAAACGGAGAGAGAGAGCCTGAAATGCATAACAAACTGTGAAATGAAAAGCCAGCAACAAAATTGTGCAAGAAATTATATGCATATATATACGGACTACATAGAAAAAACACAGGGGGAAGGGGGCCTCTTGCACTGAAGTGCACATAAAAATCATTTAAAAACAGCAGCCAAGCAGACGGACAGAAGGAGGGAAGAAGAAGGCTCCTTCCCCCAGCTTTCTCCACTTTCCCAGATTTTCCGGGCCCAAGGTAAGTCCACGTTGCCGTGATTCGAGAGGGGGGAAAAAAATTGAGTTCAGCAGAGGGGGTTCACTGGGATGTACACAAAATGGGTCTAAAGTCATAAACTTTTTCCACATAGCAGCTGATGCCAACACGTTTCGGTTACTGGTTACTGGTCTCTTGTTTTTGTTTTTCGCCGTAGCTGCCGGTTGCTCAGTGATTTTTCCTGGGCCCGTTACTATGCTCCTTTGTTTCCTCCTGGCTAACGAGCCGAATATTGGGTTAAGTAAAATATGTACCAAATGGGAAACAAGGAAAAACTCAGCTTTTCCATTCGAGGAATATTTGGAAAACCGAAAAATAATGATGAGGCTAGGGAAATGCAAATGTGAGTTGTAAATTTACCGAAATTCTGCAGATATTTTTCCTTCTCTTTTTCTGGGTAAGCTAGAAATAACACAAGTGGAAAACTTTAGCCATTTTTAATTATTTCTATCTGCCTGCTACAAGACTTCTCCACTCTAGCTGCCAATCAAATCAACTTCGAGTTCCCAGTTCGCGTGTCTCAGCGGAACTTTGGATAAGACTGGCTGCACATCAATCATGAGCAGTCGACCCGCAGCAATAATTTTTGAAATGCCAGGCCCGCGCTTAAAATGTCACACGCCAATCAAAAGCATGTTTGCCTGCATAAATAAACATAAAGCGAGCTGGGTGAATGAATAAAATATGAAGCCAGGCAAAATATCATTTCTCAACTTTTGGCAACTTTTCCCCCGACAATCTTGTCTCAATTTCCGCTGCATATGTAAGGAAAATGGGAAAATGCGAGAAGGGGGGGAAAGTGATTTCTTAATTTGTTACGGAAAAAACTTTAACAGCCCCCAAAACCCCTTTCCTCTCTCTGGGTTAAAGTGGCAAGCAAGCAGGAAGGAAAGTTTCCTTGAGTTCCAGGCCCCAGAAAAGAAAAATCGTACGTGACTTTTGTGGAAAATGATGGATCAGCTTCGGTGGGTGTAAAAGTGAAACTTGTGCCGCCTTCTAATTAATGTCAGCGGCAGGGTTCATATTTTGCTGCTTTAGCGCCAGATTGCGCATACGCAGCGTGGGGCAATTCAAAAATTGCGTATACGCACTGCGGGCAGCTGTTGCAGTTTGTTGGCCACCCAAAAGTACATAATTCCCCAAAGCGAGAGAGAGAGAGAGAGCAGTACATATATAGAGAGGCGAGAGTACCGAAAATTTAAATAAACCAAAACTGGATGCCGGCAAACTACTATTACTACAACTACTACGCATGAGTGTGTGTGTGTGTGAGTGCGGTCACTTCCGCACCGTGCAACGCATGAAATACGAGCCATTTTTACTACTACACATCAGCCGCAGAGGCTGCAACATGCGACAACATGTGTGTATGCGGCAATCGATAAATTTTGTGTGTGCAGCGCAGGAACAACAAAAGCTCAGCCAGTGCACTATAAGCCAGATATGCCAGATACGAGTGTATATATATATCAACATGGGTATATAGTGTGGCAGCGAGTGAGTATCCGCACGAGTATATGCCGGCACAGACAGATTTATAGTTTGTCATGGCGGCAGTGTCGAAAATAGTTGCAGCTTCTCTCCCGCTCACGAGGCAGCCTGCAGTTTTCGTTCATAAAATCAATAGGCCTCCCAAGCCCCCTCCTCACTCACCACATTAGCCGGCCGGTCTTCGGCTTTATATAGGAACTACACCTATACATATATAGAGGGAGTACATAGAGGGTGCACGCAGCACAGCTAATTGCTTGCATGCGAAACTTAACGTAACGAAAGGAAAGGAAACGAGAGCAAGGAGCCAGATGCCCCGGCACAAAAGAAATATAAATAAATGCCATTTGCCCTCAACACAATACGGGGAAAATGTCAAACAATTAAGCGGCAATTAGCAGAAAGCTCGAGAGTGCCAGCAGCAGCGAACCAGAAGGCCAGAGGACCAGAAAAGGGGGTCGCCTGCTACGTGAAAGCGTTGCTAAACGTGTCTTCAGCTTGTCGTCGCAGGGGGTGGAAATGAAAGGAAAGCAGCAAGGATCCAAAGGCAAGGAGCAGAGCCACGGAAGCTGGGCACTCACGGCACAGCCGAGGTAGTCAGGAAACGGGATTGCATTATGCCTTATTGATGAGCCCAGGCGGAGGACTTGGGGAACTCTGAAAATGACTACGGCCATATGGAGCACTTCTTGGGGGATTCACAGAGTGCAGGTATGCGAGGAAACCTTAAAGAAGGCCTTTCACATTCTTGCAGAGTCGAATTTAATTCATATTTAAAACAAATTCCTCTAGGAAAGTTAACACTTTTATCTTTTATCAAGTAATCACTACAGTCGCATTTTTTATTTTAATTCAAATTTTAAGACAACATTTCCAAATTAATTCGAAAATAATTTTCAATTGCCATCTGATATTATGCAAATGTAAGAAAATGAAAATTCAATATTTATCAGATATTAACATTAACCAGAGAATAAATAAATAAAAAATCAGATATTTAAAATAAATGGAAATAAATATTGATCAGATTCTATACACATTTTATAACCAAACCAAAATTACATTTACTTTTTGAATCAAATCAAAACAAAATAAAATTACTTTAATATTTTTTTTTAATTCAAAATATTATACTTTAGAATAACACTTTCCTTCTTGCCTAAAATGGTATATTACCACCAATGTTTCACCCACTTCCTTCCCAAATTAAACTGTCCCAAATAAACCCATTCAATTGCTTGATAAAAAACACTTATCTGCCCGTCAAGCCATCAGCAGCTAAGCAAATTTGCATGCAATTTTCTCTCACGAGGGGAAGCACTTTTCCACTTTATACGTGGCTGTCTCGAAGCGAAGGCAACAAACTCGAAAAAATAGAGCCAGAAACAAGGTTCTTGCAGTTGTTGTTTTTGTTGTTTTTCGTTTTTTAGATCTTAGCACGTTGTTGCAATTCAATTTATTTTCAATTTGCGCGCATGCAAGGCGAAATGTTCGGCGATGGGTGGGGAAAAATCGAGGAAAAATCGGGAGGGTTAACGACAACACCTTTCATTAAAACACAACATTATCAGGCGGGATTTTTACTTGGCGGATTTTTTTTTGCGATGTCTTAACGGCCGGCTCACGTTGCACACACAAACACGAATACACTTTCGACCGGCACTGTATATACGGGTACCATGTGTATATGGCACGCACGTTTGCCGCTTCTCTTGTTGCTGTTGCAACGCAAATTGCGAATTGCGAGTTGCACTTGCGACACTGACAACGACAACAACTGCGACGGCGCGCTCTTCGGTGTTATTTTCCTTCTTTTATTTTCCCTCTGATAACAGGTCTCTCTGTCTCTCCCTCACACCTCGCCCTGTCTCGCTTGCACTCCAGCACTTACTCGCTTGCCAAGGGAAAAGGAGCAGACAACAACCGCACGCGAGCAACGTCGAACAGCAACTGAGTCCTGATTGCGCTGTCCCGCAGGATTTTTGTGCAGATGCAGGTTGCCATAGTGGCCATGTGCACCACCCCCGTTCATCGGTGCCCCCTCCCCCCTCGATTCCCGCCGCCCACCTGGCAGTGGATGCTGGGGACAGTGCGCAGAATCCCCATCCGAATGGGCATCAACAGGAGCGTAGTAAAGCGTAGTAAATTGGATTCCATTCGGGTTTCATTCACAGAGAAGCTCTCGCCACTCTCGCGTTGCGAGTTTTTTGATCACCGTTTTTTAAGAGCGAGAGGGCTACTTTTTAAGAACCACGGCATATGATGTTTTAATTTAATTTAGAAAAAATATTAATTACAAAAATATTAGTAACATTTTTAAGAATTTGAATTTATTTCAATGCCTCGTATGACAATTAAAATTTAAGCTTTTAATAAGGCCCAGTCCCTATCCTAATTTTCAACCAAAAAATCTGATAACCCCTTCTGAATAGTACAAGGACTAGCCAAAAAAAAACAATTCTTTTATCAGCTATTAATATTATTATTAGCGGGAGCAGGATTCTTTTTTTGGGTACGAAAAAATGCTATTTTGCATACTTTTTTAATACCACATATTTTTTTAAATTTTTCTTCTGCGGTTGGGGAGGGGGCTTCCCCAGGTTAATCGATGCGGATTCTAACAAAATTATAAGTAAGTACTAAATGATTTAGTTAACACGCGAAAGTTTACTACGTAACTCTACTGAGCTCTATTTAAATTTAAAATAATATGTCTGGGGTGACTACTCTGCTCTACAAAACCCTATATTAATTTCGAGTAAATAATCTGGGGTGACATCTCTGCTTCAGGGTTTCTCATAGCGTAGACGTAGCAAATGTCAGTAGCAGTGAGTTTCTTTTCATTCGAAACCTAGTGTCAAAAAAAAAAATTTCTAGAAGATTTTTTATTCTCGATAAAGAGACTTTCTTAAGAAAAGTTTGTGATAACTCTTTGGTTCTTGTACTTCTTTACTTTGTAACTTATTCCCTTACGCCTTCGTAATATATTGATAACATGGCACTGTACAACTTCATGTATGTGATGGAGGATCTGGCCCTGGAGTTTACGGTGAGAAAGGAGCGGCACCAGCGCTTCATCCACGATTCTCGCATGCTGTCCGCGGCCATTCAGCAGCAGTTGCACAACGATGGTGCGGTCTTCAAGGACCACCTGGATCAGCTGCACAAAACGGGTAAGTGGGTGCTACTTATTAAAGATCCTCCTTCACCTATAATCCCACCAAGAGTAGCCGCCTATGTGAACAACTTGTACCTGGACATGCCGCTGAACTTTGAGATCTTCCTGCCCATCCGCCTGCCGGTGGCTGTGGTGCCCGCATTCGATGAGGAGAGACGCAGTGTGGCCCTCACCAGGGTCAACTATCGGCACCCGTTCTTCTTCGGCAATGCGGTGAATGTCAAGTGCATGAACCTTCTTCTGCAGAGCGAACTACACTACGCTATATCCAAACTCAAGTCTGTGACCTCCTCCTGCACCAAACGGGTCTACGATCTCAAGTATTCGGTGCTGAGCTTCAACCAGGTGCCCTTCGTCCACCAGGTGGTGGCCATAGAGCGCAACAGCAACCGGCAGCGATTCATCCGCTTCGATTTTGTTCTGGCAGTGGAATTCGATGGCGCCGAGATGCCTCTGCCAACGTATTTCAAGGCGCCCATGGGCAATCGATGGATCGCCTACGGAATGGTGACCCCCGATGGCGATGATTCCAATCCAGAGGAGTGGGCCATTCTGGTGCCCAAGCGGCAGGACTCGTCGCCGGGCGCCTGCCTGATCGTCCTGAACAGCATGATCCTGCTGTTCCGCCTGCTGAGCGCCCAGCAGTGCCACTGTTTCGCCCTGCCCGCCTCCGTCAAGTTCGCCTTCGTCATGGCCGCCGAGGAGCGCGGCCTGGACTTCCAGCGGATGAGCATCGCGGACCTGATCGTCACCGTGAGTAGATACTTAATTTTTGCAATTTTTATTATTTATTCTTGACTTTCAAAGCAAAAAAACCTTAAAAAGGATTGATATCTTTATTGTAGAAAAAACGTAGTTTCCACATTAATCTGTTTTATTGTCAGTACTTTGTTTAGGTATTTTAATAAGAAATTTTTAAAATTGCTAACGATTTAAGTAAGGGTCTACTTATTAACAAAAAAGTTTTCTATTTTAATAAATATTAATGAAAATAATTCTTATGTGGCTATACATGTCATTATTTAGTCGAATTATGCCGGTTTCCATCGCCTGATTCTGCCTACATTAATTGTATTAATAAATACTAGCTTTATTTTTATAAAATAGCACAGCATAATTTATTATTAACCCTAAACCAGAGTATAAGTAAATCAGATAAAATACTTTATATATTAATTAGCTAAAACTTATCTTTAAATCAGGGTTCGGAAAACAATACATATGTATAGTACATTGAAATTTCTAACGCACAGTATACTATTCCTTGTGTATTATACATGTATGAAATAAAATGTGAAGTATTCTATTTAAATAAAATACATACATGTATGTTATTTTGACATGTACATTAAGTCGTGTACTTTATTTCTGACGTGTACGAAATAATTTTGATTTCGTACATCACTGTTTTGTTTATACTTAACAGAGAATATGTCATTAACTATTTTCCGTGATGCTGTTATATAAATGACCATATCTCCTAAAGAAATCGCGGTTTTTCATCTTATATGATAAAGCGCAATTGGTGATGCAGTTAAAGAAGTGAATATATACAATGGACATCACCTTCTGAAGAATTGGCGGTTTTTCATCTTTTATGATAAAGCGCCATTGAGAATACTGTTATTCAAGTAAATATATAAATGACCATCACCTTCTGAAGAATTCGCGGTTTTTATCTTGTATGATAAAACTTCTAGGTAATAGCGTTGTACGAGTAAATATACAAGTGACCATCATCTCCTCAAGAATTCGCGGTTTTTTATCTTGTATAATAAAACCTCTAGTGATGGTGTTATACGAGAATTGCTCGTCAAGCAAATATATATGACCATCATCTTCTAAATTTTCGGTTTTACAAGTTTTTAATAAGAATGTTAAGTGTTAACATAACTGTGATGTACGAAATCGAAATTACTTTGTACACGTCAGAAATAAAGTACACGACTTAATGTACATGTCAAAATAAAATACATGTATGTATTTTATTAAAATAGAATACTTCACATTTTATTTCTCACATGTATAATACACAAGGAATAGTATACTGTGCGTATCAATCATTTTCAAGTATTTACATTTGTATAGTACTTTGTATGTTATTTTCCGAACCCTGCTTTAAATTAAATAAATTATTCAAGTTTTTTTTTTTTAATTTGTATTTAGCATGTCATCTAATTTATATATATTTATTTATTTCTAATTGTTATTATTTATTTATGTACCAACTTACTCCATAATTTACCAATTAGTTTTTATTATATTTTTCTCACAAAACTTTACATTTTCATTTATTGTTATTCATTGATATTCCAATGTTTCTCTTTAATCTCCCTAATATCTTCCTCCACCCACTTAGACCCTGTTCCATCAGGTGTTCGGCAGCCTGTACCATCTGGTGGCCAAGAACACCAAGGGCGATCCGGCCACCAGGGGCAGTCGCCTGATGGCCATCCGGAAGCAGCAGCTGCGGGCCAGTGGCATTTACGCGATGATGGCGGATGCAGTGATCCGGACGACGATCACCAGCGACTTCGTTAACGCCTTCTTCTGGAAAATCCACATCTCACCGCCGCCCGACTACTTCCATCAGTCGCTGGTCGAAGCCCGGAACACCGATGCCGTTTTGAAGCGGAAGAGGAGCACCTCTTAAGGTCCTAAGCCTTCGAAGTTAAATTGACCAGAACGATGGGTGGCGGAAAAACAAGGGGGGGGGGTTTCCTTTTTTTTTTTTTTTAAATTTGAGCACTACTGTAAATTGGTCGAGCAGTTTGTGGGAATCCCCCATTGCCCCGCCATCGTCTTAGTGTCAAATCTCGGTAATTGTGCAACTTTAATGCCAAAAAAAAGGAAAATAAGTGGAAAGCTCACACAGACACAACCTACACACACACACACACACACAAGGGCAATACACAGACAATACACAGAGACAGAGACAAAAGTTAATAAAAGCCAACTAAAAACTAAAGCCGAGTTGGGCTACGTGTCCCTGTTTTGACTTGCCCCCAGAAACCCCCCAAATGCCCCCTTGTTTATGAGGGGGAAAAAGTTAAATTGCAAATAGCTTGGGCTGGGCTTAGCCTGGGGGGGCGTGGCAGTGGGCGGTGGCAAGAGGGCGACATGAAATTTTAGAAAAATTTGCTGTTATTGTTCGGGCAAAACAAAAGGGGTAAAAGGCTTTCGCAGAGCTGGCAAAATGGGATGGGTTTGGGTTGGGGTTTTCGTTGGGAAAATAGGTGGGTCTACGGGCTGGAGTCGCATTAAACGGAAAGACACAAAAAAGTTTACCCGACTCGAGTCTCGGGGATGGAGCATAAAGTTTTCCAGCGCTTTTGACATTTCATTGTTGTCAACTTTTAACTAGTTTTTTATGTAGTCATTATTTTAAAATGCAAATCGCCTACAACTGCCAACAAAGTACACACAAAAACATACACATTACTTCTTCTGGCGAAATGTTTCGATTTAATCTGTCCCAAATCAAATGCCTTTAATTGCATTTGGGAGATGCAAATTTGTCATATGGCCGGCAAAGTGGCAAACAGATTTTCAGCATCCATCGATGAGTTAATCTGGTTAATTCGCCGCCCGATTGCCAATCGAGGAGTGTTTATTGCATTTTCCACTTTTCGTTATTTTAATTGCATTCCCAGTTCTCCTTTTGCACTTAAAGTTCTAGTGTATGAATTGCCAATAAATAAACTGAAAATTAAGCTTGCAGCTGGGAAAATCATTTTCTGACTTGGAAAGAAACAAAAAAAAGGAAGATTATCCATCTAGGAAAAAGAGGGTGTAGTAAAAATATATATTAAAAATCCTGGACCCCGGCATCAATCACTTAATTTTGTTAGAAAAATATTTCCAAACTTAAATTAAATTGAAATTTAAATTCAAGAGCTTTCCTCAGCATTTTTCTCTTTGTTGAGCTCCACAATTTTCCCCCACAAAGTAGTGCACAAAAGAAAAGCTTCCGAACATCAAGTTGGCAATGTCTTTTTTGGAGTGGGAGAGTGGTATCTTTAATCAAAAAATAATTATGAGCGACAGGAGGGGGGTTTCTAGTGTGTGTGTATGGGTGGGTGTCTGGGAAATTACATTTGAATTATGACAAAAATGAAAACGGAACCCCCGCGACAAAAGTGATGTGCAGCAAATGAGCTAAGCGACGGCCAAGTGAAATTCAAGTGGGGCGGTAGGTGGTGGGCGAAATTCGGGGGAGTGGCCATTACGAACAGAACGGCCGCAATTTACGCAACAAACAGAGCGCTGAAAATTGGACAGACCGAGGCGGCGAGGACGACCGCAGGACCTCAAGCTGGAGAAGATGGAGCTTCGGGAGGAGCAGCTGGGAGCTGAGAGCCGGGAGCCAAGCGGCAACTGGAGACCGACAAAAGTTTATGTGAAAAGCAGACAATTAATTTGTTTTGCAGCGCAAAAGGGACACCAGGACTCCGGACGACAGGACACAAGACACCAGCGGAGGGACAAACAATTTCGTGCTTGTTGGCAAAGAAAATTTACGTGCCAAAGACAATTGGAACCCCAGCAGCACAGCCAAAGGAGGGAAAATCGCATGATACGGATTCCGATTCCGAGAGGGGGGAAACGGTAGAAATGGTCAAACATTTTACGCTTTTTGTTTAATTAAAATTGCAACAGGCTACAACATTGTCCTTAAAGCGGCAACAGGAGGATGGTAAAGCAAGAGTCTGAGAAAAAAATAAAACTCAAAAAGAAATCGTTGTAAACCTGGAACAATTGCTAGCTTTTTATTTGTATTTAAAAAGATGAAAAATATTAAAAATTTAATTTAAAAAAATAAAGCAAAATTTACTTGATACTTGCGAAAATCATTATCGATTAATTTAAATTCATGAGTGGAGATAGACGCATTTGAAATTCAAACTGGCCTGTTGTTTACATTTCAAGCATATCAAATTGAGATTCCGCGTATCGAGTGAAAAGTGATATCACCAATATCAATTAGATCAAAGTTTCATATCAAGTTCTGTTAATATCACTGTGCAACATTTTTAGGGTTATAAAATGTAACCGCAAATTTTTTTTTGGAAAGAACTCACGAAATACTCAAACCCATTTGGCTCTTTCGCGTTTACCTATTATAGAGTTAAGTTTTACATACAAACCATTTCTATCTTGTGAACCGATTAAAATTTCACTATCAAGTCTTCAGTGATTATATAGCTTAACCAAGGAACTAAATTGACAAATGACTCTTGCGAAGACGTAAACCTAGCGCGTTAAAAATCGAAAAATTGGGCAAATTTGTTTTTTAACGCGCTAGGAGCACTAGGTGCTAAGTGCAAGAGTCATTTGTCAATTTAGTTCCTTGGGTTCATAGCAATAGAAAAAATGAACAACTCAAATAAATAAGCATTGCGACATGTGTTATTAAATATCATTCGATTTTTTTCTCACAATATCCATTTCAAAATTGTTTCCTGTGCAGCAAAGTCAGCGTTTTTCAATTAAGCTTGCATTTCATTTAATATGGGAAAAAAACTACAACATTAGTTGGCTGCCCTTTGCGCTTTGCCGGATATTCTCTGTTTGTGTTTGTCCAGTTATCCCCTATTTGCTTTTCCCCTTTTCCGCCTTTCCCGCTGCCAAAGGAAAAAACTGGATGGCTGGCTACCCGCTGGCTTTTGTTTTTCCTGCGAGGGGAAAACCTTTTATAGCGGTTATTAAATTGCGCTTTAAGTGCTAAACTCGGGGCGAACTATTTGCCATATCCCAGCTTGTTACCTGTCCCCCAGATCTCCCAGATCCTCCGGCTGCTCCCCGAAATCCACGTACGTGTTGGCATATCAATTCACGTTACGGACCGAATAACTGCATGCATTCATTTGCGCCAAGGAATCTTGCTCGTAGCTCGTATCCAAGCATCACCCAAAGGGGTGGTCAGGATGTCGGGGATACGCTTCCATTGGCACTGTCATTACCCCGTGTACAGTGTATCACGTTTCAGTCATTTGGTGGCTGCCACTTCATAATTCAATAAAACAATAAAAGCAAAATCCTTACAAATTACAGCAATCAAATCATACGAGTCGCACGGGCGACAGTGATGACAGTCCAACTGTCCGAATTATTAGAATATTTTATAAGAACTAAAATATTTAAATAATTGTTGGAGCCCTGAGTATATAAAATTATTTCTATAAATATTTAAAAATCAGCCAAATGTTTTTTTTTATATAAATCGCAACTCTCTACAAAATTGTTATAATAATATTAGAATATATTAGTTAATATTTTATATTATGGACCCATATGATCTCTCTTATTACCAATGTATTAATATAAAATATTTCAGTTATAAGGCTAAAATAATTATCCTTTATCACACCCATAACAAAGCTAAATATTCTGAAAAACCTGCCAAGAGAGCAGCACTCTTTCGCACTCCTGGAGGGAAATGCGTCCCTAGCATATTTCCATAAATTGGTCACAATTTGCTATGCGCAGCAGCAGGGCAAACAAAAGCCCTGTAAGCGGCAAAGGACGCCGCACACACATAAGCACTTGCCGCGACATGGTAGCCGTTAAAGGATGGGCGGAGTCGTCCAAAATTATGACGCCAAGGATAATCGTAGTGAAGCGCGAGTGGTTCCCACTCTCGCAGGGAATACGTGAGGCGACTCCGCTTGCCTGGGGACACCACACGAAACGTGGCCAACTAGTTTATATTTCTATTTCTCTATGCAATGCTTTATTCATGCTACAACCGCTGCGCTGTTCATCTCAGAAAGCATTGGTGCGTGGATAAAATGTGAGTTTGACAAATGTTTTGGCATCTGCGTAGCTTCTGTGCGATCGTAGATGCTCATTTCTAGCCGAGAACTGGGCATTTACGATGGGTTATCCTACAACTTGTATATGGAGTGCACATTGGGTCCGTGCTGCACCATGGCATCCTTGTGCACCTGGTACTGGATCTCCAGCTCGCCCAGCTGCAGCAGCTCCTTCATCTGGCGGCCAATGGACAGAATGGCCTGGACATTGCGCGAATCCTTGGTCCAGAGGGCTGTTAACAAAAGGGATTCTTAGTAATACCCACTAAAAGAGAAATCGTTCTTATACCCACATAACTTATTGGCCTTATTGCGCACATTAATGACCACTCCACATATCTCGTCCGAGTATTGGAAGCACTCCCCAATCATGCACAAAAGCTAGAAGGGAATACATTCATTCGTCTTAATTGTATGGTACAAGATAAGTGGCTTACCAAATCATGCCATATTTTATCTATGAAGCCCCGGGAGGCCTTGTCCAATAGCATAATCCAACGGCCGCCCTCCTTGTTCACATCATCCTCCCACATGGGACTAAATGGGAATACAAATGAAAGACTTACAGATCCAACTAGCATCTACAACTCACCGAACACCTTCCTTAAAGACCATATAGTCATTGAATATCTTCAGATCCGATGGGGGCTTGACAAAGTAGTAAACACTGTCAAAATAAATTAGTATAAAGTGGAGAATATATAAAGATTTGTTTTTAAGACCTAAAAAAGTCCTCCACAGTATTGAAGCTGGTCACATCGCTGAGCATCTCGGTCCAGCTCTTGGTGCGATCGTTCTCCCAGTGCCAAAGGGTCCAGGTGTGCTCCAGTGGATGCTTCATGGCCAGGTCGTAGTCAATGAGGCTCATCACCCGGTTCAAGGAGGGCTGCAGCTCCTGCTCATCGCCGCTCATTAGTTCGACTCCATCGTAAACGGATAGGCCCTGCTCCCAGTCACCGGCCTCGCCATATGGCACCCATTCTGTCCCGGGGAAATTGAAAACTACACTCACCAACATTTTCCGGAAAAACTCACCAGTTTCGTCAGCAATTTGCAATCCGTTGCTTTCGTAGCCGGTGTAAACCATAGTTGTTTCTTTTTTCTACAATTCGAAAAGCGAACCTTTTTATGTTAGTTTTCCCGGTTTATTTTACTAAAAAACTCCTTGAATAGTATATTGTCTCGTGCGAAGTATAAGCGTTAATGAAAATCGAGGAAAATTTCTTCGCAATTTGACAAATCAAAAGTGACAATAAAAGCGTTGCCACCTTGGGTTTCAAAAACTAATCGATATGTTCAGTGTGACCATCCTCTTCGCAAGAGCGTTACAATTTTTTAAAAACCTTTTTGTTTTGTGCTTCTGTCAAATTTAATTGATATTATTAAAATTTTAAAACCACCTTGTAATTTTAGACGTAATGCCACTGCTTTTCATGTAACAAATGTCACTCCCATTTATTATTAGCTAAATTATAGTAAATCTTTTTAAGATTTTGTAATGCTATTATCCAAGCCAGAAAAATGTACTACAATCTTTATCCTCCCCATTCAGACACTCAAACATGGCCATCCCATTCGCACATTTTGGTTGCAAAATCAAATTGAGTCGGTTAAGTACGGCCCCGAGGGTCGATCAATTGAAATGTCACGTTAATAAAATAAAATGCCACCGAGCATACGATAAATGCACGAAAATAATAAAATGTGACTCAAATGAGCGACGGCGACAGCAGCCACAGACACAAGTTGGCAGCCGGAAAGGATCCGATTGGGAGTGCAGATGGAGCACGGGGGAATCCCGCTTTCTTGTCTGCTGGGGCTGCTCCTTGTGCAACAGTTTGGCCTGCAGTCAATAATCGAAATCGACTTGGGCTTGTGGCAATAAAAATTTGTCTTCGCCGCTTAAGTTGTGCGCCTTGTTGCACACAAGGTCCTGGTCTCGAGTCCTGTGGCGGCAACTCACCCCCCTTTTCCACACCCCTTGCGGCGGTGCAGATAATAAAATATGTGAGTCGCTACGTGGCAGCTCCTTGGGCGTTGGTAAAGTAGCTTTGGGCCCTTGTAATGTGCACCATTTGTTGCGCGGCTGGTGGTGCGGTGCTCGAACTCCAACCAACTCCAGATGCACCTCTCTATCTCCATCTCCCGCCGCTCGGGTGAGTTATGCCGGCCAAGTTTGGAACAAAAGTGTTGGCACTGCTCCTCGCTCTTAGTTCTCGCCGCCAAATAAGTTGCCAGTCCCAATTTATTTAAAAATTCTATTTATTTTTGCTCTTAAGCAGCTTTGGCTGCTGCTCCAACCAATCGTAAATTTTTCAGAAAAAAGACTACAACAAATATGTTTTCTTAATTGGGAGAATAAATGGCGACTCCGAAGGTAATAGTAATTTTACATTTCTATTTGGGCAGTTGGTTCAGAACCGTTGATAAATCCCCATAATAAGCAATTTATTTTATAATACCTATAGATTATAATTATCATATTGCAAATATAAAAAGCTCAGATTTCTTTTATTTATTTACTTTATTATATTTGTATCCAAATTAATTATACCCGTTACTCGTAGAGTAAAAGGGTATATTAGATTCGTGCAAAAGTATGTAACAGGTAGAAGGAAGCGTTTCCGACCCTATAAACTATATATATTCTTGATCAGGATCACTAGCCGAGTCGATCTAGCCATGTCCGTCTGTCTGTCTGTATGAACGCTGAGATCTCGGAAACTACAAAAGCTAGAAGGTTGAGATTTTCCACGCATATTCTTGGGCTTCCTACGCAGCGCAAGTTTATTTTAGCCGAGTGCCACGCCCCCTCTAACGCCCACAATCGCCCACTAACGATTTTAAAATGTGTCTGGCGCCCACACATACTTCCGAGAAGTATAAATGCAATTTTGTTGTGCATATTTATACCTATCGAAATGTAGAAGACATTTTTCAAATCGGACCATTCATTAAAAAGTTATACGCAATCAAAATTTCTATATCTATCTCCCTCGCACTCCCTTTAGCTGAGTTACGATTATTAGTCGGGACACCAACCCGACTAGTGAGTGACGGGTATTAAATAGTCGGGACACGAACCCGACTATAGCGTTCTCTCTTGTTTTAGTAATAACACTGTGCAGCATTTTTAGTGCTTTTTAAATTTACCTCGATGGATGCTATATTTTTGGATTCGTTACGAATTCCCAAGTTAAACTGCGTTTTCCAAAAAGTTCCCCGACGCAAGGATTCTTAGCAAAAGGACCTCAAAATTCGAAAAATGCTGAAATTGGCCAACTTTGCGGAGCTCTCAGAGGCAAATGGATGCATGGTTTGATTCGATGTTAAAGTATTTTAAAATATACACCCTTTATCTTTTAAACCCCATACTTAAAAAATTTTTAAGATTTTTTTAAGGCAGAAACAAATTCTAGAAAACATAGTCAAACGAGGACGGAAGCTAACTTCGGCAAGCCGAAGTTTTAATACCCTTGCAGATTTTACGAATTAAAACTTGACTAGACTAGCAACATGAATTAATAAACAACAAAATATTTTATAATTGAAAAAATAAAATTTTAAAATTTTTCACCCTATTGTTCCTATGGGAGCTATAGGATATAGACGCCCGATCGGCACGCGCGTTTACCCTAATGAAGGTACACACAAAAAAATACGATTTGGAAAGTTTCATGGGAATAGCTAATATTTTGCGCGAAATATCCTGAAAAACGTCAAATTTTGACCGATTTCACCCTATTGTTCCTATGGGAGCTATAAGATATAGACGTCCGATCGGCACGCGCTTTTACCCTGATCAAGGTACGCACAAAAAAATACGATTTAGAAAGATTCATGCCAATAGCTCTTACACTGAGCGAAATATCTTCATTTTTGTGAAAGCTATATCCGATTGTTCCTATGGGAGCTATAGGATATAGACGTCCGATCGGGTCGGCTTTCAAACTTGATCTGCGTACACATGTTTTAGGACGACTGTGAAAGTTTCAAGGCGCTAGCTTTTAAACTGAGCTCGCAAACGGTATTGAAACAGACATACAGACGGACAGACGGACATGGCTATATCGACTCCCCTATTGATCCTGATCAAGAATATATATACTTTATGGGGTCGGAAACGTCTCCTTCACTGCGTTACAAACTTCTGACCAAAATTATAATACCCTCTGCAAGGGTATAAAAACATAAAAGTATACAGATGCGGTCAAAATGGTAGTAGTGTTGCCGCCCTGTGTATTTAAAAGTTTGTTGTTGTAATTGATCTTTTCCTGGTAATATTGTATTGATTATAATTTTACTATTAGACTAATTGGATAAGAAAAAATTACAACATCAAACTTTTAAAAACACAAGGCGGCAACACTGCTACTATTTTGACCGCAGCTGTATGTTTTTCAGTTTTTTGACTATGTTTTTTGGAATTTATTTCTGCCTTAAAAAAATCCTAAAATTATTTTATGTATGGGGTTTGAAAGATAAAGGGTGTATCTTTTAAAAACCTTTAACTTTGAACCAAGCCATGCATCCATTTGCCTCTGAGAGCTCCGCAAAGTTGGTCAATTTCAGCATTTTTCGAACTTTGAGGTCCTTTTGCTAAGAATCCTTGCGTCGGGGAACTCTTTGGAAAACGCAGTTTAACTTGGGAATTCGTAACGAATCCAAAAATATAGCATTCATCGAGGTTAATTTTTGATGCTGCATAGTGTAATTTAAGGTTCTATGCTTGTCATTAAGTTTCATTAGGAATATTACATTTTTAATATATATTAAGGAACATTGTGGTGGGTAGGTATATTTAATTTTATCTATCTCAAACGTTAAAAAAATGTTTACCAAGCGATGATACTCATACTTCTTAAGTCTTTCCGCCTTGTTTATTGCCTGACTACCATAACTGAAAATTACCTGCTCCAAATGTAGTTGCTGGCCCATGAATTCTTGAGAGGGAGAACTTTAATTTCAACTCTTTTCGACTCTCTCTCCTCATTTAAGTCCCCGGCAAACGCTTAGCTATGCTTTGTTAGATTTGACTTTGTGCAGCGCTTCTCAGGTGGCACTTTGGCGTATACGCAATATTTTACAGCTTTTTGCACTTTGCTGGCTGAGCTGAAAATACATGGTCAGTAAATCTTTTAAAATATTGTAATGTTGAGGGAGTGTAGTAGAGAACGGAGAATAGAGACCGAGGCGAGAGGAGGCAAGGGGATAGCTCACTACCGGCTTAAGCGCTTTGAGTGCCGGTGCCGTAAAAACGCCCACAAACTGCCGAGTGAGCCGGAGGGGAAAAGCGCGTAAATGGAGCATTCTACAGGGAGCCAGAGGAGCCGAAGGAGCCAAGGAGCCAGGACCTCATCTTAAGGCAGTTCTGTGCAGACAAGCGCATACAAGAAATGAAAATGATTTGAGGCATTATGTTCGCTCCGGTTTCACCCCGCCTTTCAGCCCGCCATTTCTGGTTTCGCTTCCGTTCGGCTGTCTGTCCTTTTTTCCTTCTTTTTGGCTACAAAATTGCTTTGCTCCTCCTTCATGTTGATTGTAAAAGATTTCAGTGCTGAGAGCACAAAGCATGCGATGATGTACGGAACGACGCACGTCGTACATTTTGCACCTTGAAGTGGCAAGCGGAGGAGGAGGAGAAGGGGCAGGGACTCCACTCCAGCAGAGGCAAAGACAGCCACATAAAACAATAAAAAGCAATGGTAAATGCCGAGGATGGGTAGCGACAACACATCCTGCAGCACCTTGAGGCCAACCCAACTGACAGCAGCTTCCGGCAGCCCCCAGTCCGTCTGCCCCACCTGCCCCATCTGCTCCATCTGCCCCTCTGCCACGCCCCCAGTTGTCTTTTGGCCTGCACGCCCCCTCTCACCTGGACGAAACAAGTTGCAGGTGTAGGAAGCTAAAGTGTGTTCACAGTAGAGGCAAGTCTTCTAGTAATTCTGGTTAATGTTAATTGATTTTCACATAACTTATAATAATTTTATAACCGTTATTAAATAAAGTATCTTTAATTGTATTTAAACCCGTTTTTTTGGGTTTTATTAACTCCTAAACAGTTAAAACTTACATCACGACATTCCAAAAAAATATTCGCCATTCTGCTAAAACATTAAAGTTGAAAATCAAAAAATGTTCACGATTTCTCTGATGGAAATCCAGTTCTAAAAAACTAAATCTAAATCTTAGATGAAACTAATTTTTATTATTCTTGGAATCGAATGTCCACTGTGTGCCTTAATTTCGGTTTAAGGCGTTTTCATGAGGTTGTTTTATTAGATTTGTTAGACCAATAAAACCGTTTTTTTCGCTTTTATTATCTACTCCTAAATTTTGTTAAATATGTATTAAGACAAACTATAAGTCGCAGGTCATTTAAAAAATATAAATACTTAACAAACTATTATCAATATACTAAATTAAGATAATGAATATGGGTTAAGTGCATGCTGCTACTAAGCTGCTACTATCTCATTCATAGCTGTGTGTGTTTTGCGGTGCTAAATACTTTGGACCAAGACGCCTCTGGGCGCTGGCCACCCCAACTTGGAACCGAAGCCGGAGCTATGGCTTCTATATCTTTGAAGCCGGAGCTTGGGGCCAGGTGAAAGTCATTTCACGCTGTGTGTAGCGCAAAAGATTAAAATAATAGCAGCGCGTAAATTAAACAGCCCGTTGGAGCCGAAGAGTAGGTGCCAGATGGGGATTTTTGGATGGGATGGAGCGGGCGAAGGGATATAGGGATATGGAGACGTAGAGCCATTGAAGTGGCAGGCATCGAGCAGAGCAGCAGGACCCGCCACATTGCCACCTCATTGCCATCGCATCCCTTTGTTTAGGTCTGTGGTCTCTGCTAAGGCGCTTACCTGGCACACCTCATCCCCCCTCCGGTTGTCCCCACCCCAGTGGTCCTCGTCCTCCAGGACATTGCCAGCATTGCGTTGTCAGCACTTCATTTTGATCCAACATGCCGCGTGCTTCACTTAATGCGACGACTGCCAGCAGCCCGCATTTCTGAGGGGGTTGGAATGCCATTCGGGGGTTGTAGGGGTTTTGGGGGGGCAGGGAGGGAAAAAGCTCGCTTCTTCATCATGCACATAACTACAAAGGCGGCTGCATTTCTTTGGCGAGCGCAAAAACTTCCAACAGGCGACAGAAATTGAATAAAGACGAAATGCATCTTTGAAATTTTAGAGATATGTGCTTAAATCAACCAGTCAAACGAAATGTTCTTCACATTTATTCCCGTGTTTTCTTCACGATTCCCTCGCAAGAGAAGGGATATATTTTGCTGAGGAAATCACCAACAAATAAATACTGATTTATAATAAGGATTTATTGTATAAAATTATAAAAAAGGTCAATAAAAACTGTATATTTTACAATAACAAAATATTTTGTAATAAAAACTGTAATTGGTAGGTGCCAAAAAAACTCGTATATATTAAACAATCAAAACTTAAAACTTTACAATAAAACCTGTAAATTTTACAATAAAAAAATGTAAATTTAATGTGGAAAAAAAATTCAAAATTGGACAGGTAATCAAAAAGTTATGATCAAAAAATAAAACAGCCGCTAGATGGCGCCCGGAGCTTTGACAACTGCTTATCTCCATCTCAAATTACTCGACTATACCGTTTTCTCTTGTTTTTTAATTGAATAGATTTCCCAAATAATTTAAAGTATATGAATCCCCATACTCTCGACACCTTTTGTCGCCTGCCAACTGCTGAGCATTACACGTCACGAATGCGTGCGTAATGCGCTCCCTGCAAACTACGTACAGCAATGCGAAATGGAGGGGTTGGAGGTTTCGAGGCAGAGGATTGCGTTGAGGAGGGTGGGATGCACTGATGACCTGGGAAGATGGGAGGAAGGGAGGCGGGGCTCAGGATGCAGTGACGCAGTGATGGTTCGTTGGGCTGCTACCTTCGCAGAGTGTTTTGTGGCTTGTCTTCCCTTTGCTCCTTTTCCAGATCCTTTGCAGCCGAAGCTTGCTTAATGCTTCATGTTTGCCAGCTTTCAGCTCTTTGTTCGCGTTCGTGTCCTCACTGTGCTCGTCCTGTTTTTGTTATTACTCTCCCTTGCTGCTGCTGTTGTTATTGTTGTTGTTACGGCAAGGTACTTTGCTTTTGTTCGATGAAACGTAAAAATAGCAACAAGCAACGAAAACTCATTTTTAGACAATGCCGCATAATTCCAACGCAATGGAGGTAAAGGAAGCAAAAGAGGAAGAAAAGGCAGCAGAATAAGATCCCAACGACTTTTTGTTGTAATGAGGTATTTCCGCTTTGTTGTTACTGCTCATCTTCACTTTATATCCCTAAACTGTAAACAATTTTTATCCATATAAATATAAAATCAAATTCTAATCCGAAAAATTAATAATAGTTTTAACAAGATAATTAATTATTTAATAATTATTTAATATTATATTTTGGTAAACCTATTTTTATTTTAATAATGTAATATACGGGAACTATCGATTAGCCAATTAAAGATGTTGTTTAAATGTGGTTTCGGAAACCCAAATAAATTTTAAATGTAAAAAATAACTAAAACCAATGTAAGCCCATGAGACCTTTTAATTCAGAAAAATAATACCAAGTTTACAGTGATCATTTATAATTTTAAGTGCACCTTGCTTACATTTCGATGTGCTTTTCGTACAAAAGCAACCGCAAGAAGTTTCTTACGGGCTGTCGGATATTTTGTAATGAAAGTGGATGCTGGCTACACCCGTCTCATCTGGCTTCCATGCCCATCTCTTTCGCACGCAATCCTTTCCCCGGCGATTATTCAAGCGCAAAATTTGCGGTAATCTGCTGGCGGACAGCTTCCCAACATATGCAGAAAGTTTTCGCACAGGGGAGCCCTGGAATCACGCACTGCTTAAACTTTTAACCCTTCTATGTTTGCTCCCGTTTGCCAAAACACATCCTTTTTGGCCAAGAAGTTGGGGAAGCCTGTTGCTGCCCCAAAATGGCAGAGTGCTTTTTTGTTGCTGGTCATTTACGGCCATTTAGCCGCATTTAACCAAGTCAACAATAAACTCAAACTCTTTTCTTTTATTTGGGACAACGGAGCCCCCAAAAACCAATAACCGAAAAACTTTTAAATGCAAACATTGGTCACGTCCCATATGATATTAAGTCTCCTCTAACATCAACTTTCTAATATCAATAGAAAGTGTGAAAATAATAAAATGTGTTAAAGTCTAAACTCATAATTTGTTATAATAATTATTTTTTAATTCATAAATATTTATTTTAATATCGTACATGCATTACAGGATCATCTACTTTTAAGAAATCTTTTTAGTTTAAAATTAAATTATCTCAACTGCTCACAAGTACCCTCAAGCATAGATTCACTTCTGTAAAACCGCTTAATAACACAATTCTAAAGTCGGCTTTCAAATCAAGGCCAGAAATCCAAGCGAAAACCCCTGACCCGAATTCATTAACTAAATGTTCTTCTGAAATCACCACGTTCGCAAAGAAGTCTCTTCACTAAAGTGTTCAGCCGAGCACTTCATATGGCATTTAATAATGATTAAGTACTCGAAAGCAATGAGTTGGGCGAATCTCTGCTGGTTGATGAGGGGGAGGGTGAGAGGCAAATGAACGCTGGTAAATGGAGCGCCCTATTCGAATGTCATCAAAATCATCATCACCATCAGGAGCCGGGAGCCTCCTGAGCCGAACTGTTGACGCATTTTGGTTTCAGGCCTCATTAGCGCCGGGAGTTTCGGCACTGAAGGCAAGTCAAGTCAAGTAAACCCAAGTCGGCCTTCGACGGGCCTCTCAAATTGTGTCAGCATCAGGTGTCAATTTTAATTTACTGCTTCCAGCCGGCTTGTCATCTCTGATGTTTGTTTGCCTTGAGCTGGGGTTTTGGGTTTCGGAGAAATGCTTATAGAAATGGGGATGCTAACCCATATTTTGGTGGCTTGAGGTTGCTGCGGTAATTTCGATTTTCTGACTTAAGGACATACACACATCTAAACTCATTGAAGCTTTCATGGCAGATGAAAGAGGTGTTCAGCCATCCTCATTGATATTCAGCCCCAATCCGCAGCCTCGACATATACATAGCAATAATTGAACGCTTAGCTCAAATGGCCGCAAAAAACCGCTCGCTAATGGAGCATTTTAAATGTGTGGAGGCAAACGCTGCGCATGCTAATCCATTAAAAACCTATTCTGGAATGTCAAAGGGACCATGAAGATTTTTAAGTTGGTAAGGAATAATTTTAAATACATTTTTTAAGTCTTAACAAAATACTTTAAGCTTTACAGCTGAACAAAAATGGTATTCGTTTAAAGAACTATTTTATTTTAGGACCAAAATTGTTTAAAAAAGTCTTATAAAAAGTCGCCCAAACTTCGGATAATTTTGTTGTAGCTAACTTAAGCAAGCCCAAAACAAAACAATAAAAAAACAATTGACTTTAGTAGATTCTTAGATTTTTAATGCATCACAAGTGGGGGTACAGAGAAAATAAATGCCAAGCCATGAGCCAAGCTCACGGGGCAATATTTTGTACAGTGTTCAAAATCCATTGATTTACTTCTTCAGCAGCAGAGGGGCGGCAGCGGCGGCGACGTAGGGACGGGCCACATAGGGCGAGCTGTAGGCCAGGGGGGAGGTGTAGGCGGCGGCGTAGGGGGCAGCGAAGGGGGCGGCATAGGGCGTGGCAAAGCGGGTGTAGGCAGCAGCAACGGGGGCGGTATAGGCAGCGGCAATGGGAGCGGTATAGGCGGCTGTGGTATAGGCGGCTGGGAAGGCGGCGCTGTGGGCCACCGTGTTGGCGGTGTAGCTGGAGGCGTAGGGAGCCACGTAGGCGGCACTGCCCACCACAGCCGGAGCGGTATAGGCCAGAGGAGCGGCGGCCAGAGGAGCCACGATTCCGGGCTTGGCAGCAGCCACAGCCACAACAGCGAAGAAGATAGCAGCCTAAAATGGGACATTTAATATATTAGATAAATTAAAGGAAGTGTTAAATTACTTATTAATTTACTGGTTAAAAAATGTAAACCAAATTTATTTAAATCTATTTTTAATGTAATTGATTATTTCAACAAAATTATCAAGGATTGCTTCTTAATTTTTAAACATTTTTTAAGAGGAAGAACTTAAAAAAAAAATATGTCAAAATGTTATAACTTTATAATTAGATTTTAAGATCTTGCAGTTCTTTAATTTTTTCTTTTTAACGCCACTTTAAAATCTCTATTCACAATGATAAGCCCTTGTTCTAAATAGATCCTCTGTACTTACGAATTTGAACATGTTGATGGATTTGGTTTGTTTTTGGATTGTCACTTGGTGGATGGCCAATTGGTGTGTGATGTCCAACTGAGGGCTGCACGGCTCTTTTATAGCCACTTACACTTTTCGATCTGCTTGGCCATGCGGATCACGAACTTAGATCAGCCATCGATGGCTGCCAAGTCAACGACTTTCGATTGACGTTGCGCATGCGCAATTCTTGGCTACTGTTTTTTTCAGTTTCTTTAATATTCGTGGTCTAGACCTGGCCATGTCTTATTTTTGGTGCGTGCCTGAGCGTCCGTTACTTCGAATCGCTTGGCGATTTGTCCCTGACCTTGGCGGCTGCAATGCGTTTACAATTTAATAGGTCTAGCGGGTTTAACCGATTGATTTATGGATGTTACTCCAGCGCGTCATCAGGAAATTATCAGATTATTCCGCCCCATTACTGTGTGCCTATTTTAATGGACCACAATAAATCCGGCTAATCACTGCTCTGTCTAGTAATCCACACTCACCGCTGGCAGATGGCAGAAATTAATTAATAAATGTCGCAAATTGCGGGCAAAGAGCTTAAAACTCACTAATTAGAAATATCGAGTGCAGGCTGCCGTGTGTGGTAAAGCACACTTCGCAAGAATGCACCGCCACAAAGCCAGTTCCACCCAGTTCCGCATACTCCTTCGCGGGCTTTCGAGGCACACATATCCAGATACTCCGGCAGTGCCAGTCTCTCACTTGAAAAAGTGTTGAAGCGTGAATTTTGCTTAAAAATGCCAATTACGCGAATTCAGCAATGCAATGGATTGGTGGGCGGGTGGCCGATGAAATGCCAGGGAAGGGGACTTAAAGAAGCTCTGCTCAAAGGGGAGGTTTATTCCTGGGGGTGTGGCAAAGTAATACTGGAAAAAACGTGGAGCAAATTGTAAATCCGTATTATTCTAATAGTCTTTCGGAAACCTCAAAAATTATATATTTTTATTATTATTTATTATATATTATTCTATAATATTTTAGTTAGTTAGTTAGTTATTATTTTAGTTATTATTATTTCTGAAGTTATATTAAAACTTGATAAGATCTTTGTTTTATATAAAGAATTTTAATTTGTGTAACTCTCGGAAATTCAAATAATTGTAAGACCGAATTTCGTATTGAACGATTTTATTATTAAAGATTTTATGGGTAAAATATTCTCTTGAAGAATTTGGGATTACAGAGATTTTAGTTACCAATTTTTTTTTTGGTTCGAGGTAAAGGGATATTTGAGTTATAGAATGTTTTGATTTATAGAAAGATTTGTTCAAACTACATAAAATTTGAGTTAGGAAAGTTCGATTTTTGAAAGTAGGTTAACCTTCTTGAATTTTTTAAAATAGTGTACTATACTATACTGCATACTTTATAATTTTAAAATTCTTTTACAATGTTAGTAATATTTTCTTGGAGTACAACAAATTGTTGCCAGTTGTTCCTTTGGTTTGCTTTCCAGCCACTGCCGATGATGATGATGCTGCTGGCGAAGGATTTGGCGCGCATCCTGCCGCTTCCTTCGCTCCTTTTGTGCGGCTCAAGTGTTTGCCATGTGCCTGTGCATACGAGCCAGCCTATTGCCAATGCGCCGGGATCCTTTAGAGATGTGGATGCGGACGTGGACGTGGATGTGGCTGCGAATGGGTGTGTCTACTAAATGCACAGTCATGCAGCCTCGCCTCGGATTGAAAACTGCTCCGGCAACCGCAGGCGGCAAACATATTTGTTTTGACACTTGACTTCCCTCCTGGCCAACAGGCTGCTTTCATTGTCAAGTTTGCGGCGAGGACTTGCTACTGAAATTATTATATTGGTTAATCCGCCTAAAAGCTTTGATGGCACTTCCCCTCCCCCAGCCACCCGTCGATCTCCTTTTTAGCCATTTCAAGTGCAGTGCCCGCAACTCTCGAGTGGCCCGAACGGGGACCATATCAAAGAGCAGTCCCCCGGGAGCCGGGGATGATGTATATGTATCCACGAGTGCCGGCAAGTAATTAAAAAGCAAGAAATTTCCACAAAAAGCCGAGCACAAAAATTCGCTCCGTTTGACAGGGACAAAAAGCTCGGAACGAGGACTTCGAAGCCAAAAGAAGAGGGAGTCCAAAAACCAACTCGACTTGGAAATATCCTTGGTTTTATTCTGTCCAGGAATTACAATTTTAATTATTCAAAATATTAAATAAATTATAACTAATATTATATACATATTGTTATGTTGTTTTTTTAAATATATAAATTATCTCAAGGACCAAGGATTTGTAATTTACCTAGATACCCTGGGAACATTTTTTGATGCAGGGCAGCACCAAGGAACTTTGAACAAGTTGCGTGAAATATTCGCGGCACTTTTGCTTTTTTTTTTGCCCAGTCGCCGTCCCAAGTTGAGTTTATTGCCGTAATAAAGGCGCAACTGCCTCTGACTTGGCCGGGGTTATGTCTGCATCAGGATCAGGATTCGAGGCGGAGGGAGGCGAGATAGAGGGGGCGTGGCAGCAGCTGTGCGTGCGCGTTAATGCGTCGTTTAAGTGCCGTAAAAAGCGAACGACACACATGACACCCCACCTCTGGAAAAGGCCTAAGCCGTTTCCGTATCCCCGAGTCCTCATCAAGATGAAGTCTATTAAAAAATTTCTGGTTTGAATTCGTCCAGAAAATTCCAGCGACATTCGGAACAGGCAGCCAAAGAAGAGGGCGGCCGCCTTTAAGTGGTTTCCACAAATTATTCATGAGAACAAAGCTGTTTTCCTGGGGAAAGGGGAGAAAGAGGAGAAAGGATGTGGGAAACCTCGGCAAAGGATGCCAGGGGTGGCTGAAACTTTTCGAAATTTCAGAGCCGAGAACCCATTCGAGTGTTTGGTGGATTGAAATTAATACATTTAATTTCAGTCGAAGTTTCTATGCGAAATTTAAGTTAAATGTCGAGTTTTAAAAGTTTGCTAAGCTTCTGTATTGAACTTAAAAAAAAGGAAAAATGGTTGGAATACAAATTTTAAAAGGCTTGAGAAAATTTAAAAATATATTATCACAAAACCAGTTTTTTTAATTTTCATTGAAATAATAAAAAGTGAATATTTGTAAGTTAGAAACCTATATGTTTTTATTAAAATGAATTTAACTTACAAATTTTTAGTCCTGAAAATTGATTTTAGCTTTGGTTTATAGTTTGTTTCAGAAATGTTTTAACTTATAACTTATAAGTGATACGTACTTATTATATAGCAAGGATTTATATATTTTTTTAGTGAAGAATTTTAGACGATTCCTCTTGAAAGATACACCTTCTAGCTTCCATTGCTCCCTATCATCTGAGCACCACCGACAGAAGATCTCTCTATCTTCCATAAGTTGGTAATTCCTGAATAATTGAGGCATCCATCAAGTTTCTCCGCCACTTGGATAGCCACCCCTCAAGTGGGATTCTGCGATCATAATTGCTTTACGGCCTTTGTTCCGCCCTGTGGGCTGACGCATTTCAATTACTCAGCCCCGCGTTAGCAAAGTCAAATCGAATTAGGCCCGGCACGTGCCAAGTGTGCGTGTGCACCAACAATGGATCGTATCGTATTGGCCCACTAAACTGGAACGGAGTCAAAGACTTTGAGCTGCGCTGTCAGCGATGCCAGCTGCATGGATAAGCGCGGCCTTCGTGTCCAAGTGGCTATGGTAGTATGGCTACTATACTATATAAACTGGCCAGTCCGATCGACTCAACATCAAATCCAGCTCACAGCTTCAAGTAGTCACTACAAGCCAACCAAAAACCCAATCAACAATCAACATGAAATTCGTAAGTTCTTACAAGGACTTCTTAATTCCGCTTCAAGGATTAAATAATTAAGGGGAATTTCCATCCACAGTTCGCCGTCTGCTTCTTCGCTGTTGTGGCCGTGGCTGCTGCCAAGCCCGGAATCGTGGCTCCTCTGGCCGCCGCTCCTCTGGCCTATACCGCTCCGGCTGTGGTGGGCAGTGCCGCCTACGTGGCTCCCTACGCCTCCAGCTACACCGCCAACACGGTGGCCCACAGCGCCGCCTTCCCCGCCGCCTACACCGCCGCCTATACCGCTCCCATTGCCGCTGCCTATACCGCCCCCGTTGCTGCCGCCTACGCCGCCCCTGCCGCTTACACTGCCGCCTATACCGCTCCCCTGGCTGCCGCCTACACCGCCCCCATTGCCCGCTATGCCGCCGCCCCCTTCGCAGCTCCCATCGCCGCCCCTGTGGCAGCCGCCTACACCGCCCCCATCGCCGCCGCTGCTCCCGTTCTGCTGAAGAAGTAAGCAGGCCGTTTGCGAATCCCATCTTGACCAATCTGTGTAAATAAAGAATTGTACATACCAGCGAAACCGAGAATTTTATTTCTTTTTAAAAGTATTCACACTGAAAGTTTTAATTACAACGTCTTACAAATTTGGGATCACATTTAAATACCAACATTTTCATTAAATTAAATTAAGTTTATAATTATATATTCCTGCTTTTTAATAATCAAAAACAATAGAGGATCATTAATTGTTAAACAAACCAATTCCTAACAATTTATAAATGATAAAATCTAAATTCGTAAACCTAAAGGGAATTAACAAAATTAATAATCCTTAAATAGATGAACTTTCAATTTATTTTCAATTAAGCAAAGCACATCTCACTTTTATAAAGCTATTTGCATTAAAGATCTGGTGGTAGGGTGTCTTCTTAACCAATTTGTTCTAGCAAATTTTCATAATACCCAATATCCCATCACTTTTCTCCTGAATTGGGGGCTTTGAACCCCCTGATACCCCTGATAGTTAGTATTATTTTTTAGTGTACAACTTTCCCCTTCCGCTATGCAATTTTCCCGAACAAAATGAACTCCTTTGGCTTTGAGCAGTGATGGGGAGCAATTTGTACTCCGCTTTTTCCACTCGGTTCAGTTCAGCTTAGTTCTTATCGAAAGCCTGGCATCTGGCGTCCCCTTTTCCGCGTTTTTCCTCCTGCATCGGCGCCTTGCCTTGGCCAGGATTAAACTTTCCATTTAAAAGGATTTCTTTTCTATGTGAAATATGCTTCCTTTCAGCGTTTCCTGCGCGTACTCTCCCACTTTTCGTCCTGTCCGCAGCCAGCGGCTCCAGTCAAGTTTTCTGCTTGACTTTGTCCTGCGCGTTGAAAGGCCCGAGTGGAGCCTTCTGCCCCCCGGCGGTATCCTGCTGCTCCTTATCATAACTTTCATCCCTCTCCCCTTTTTCCGCGACTCGCTCAGGTGGTAAATGCCAAGTAGTTGTAAAGTTTGCTACCTAAGCGGAAAAGGCTAGTAAAATCCACGCAGGGGGAAGGGAAAATGGCTGCTCCATTTTCGCAAGTTCTCGCAACAGATAGCGTCCAAATTTAATGACCTTTTATTCAATAAAACTGCGTTGAGAGCTCCGGCAACTTTTTGTGCCTTTCCATGGTGAATATTACTTGTTGTCGCCCTATCGTGTTTGTCGTCCTCTTTTTTTATTTTTTGCCCCTTTTTTGTTGCCCAAAAGTTGTCAAAGGTAAGCGAAAATATGATAAGCAGAAGGGCGAGTTTTTCGAAGGGATTTTCTGTTAGCATAATGAGCAAAACTTTCTGGGTTTCAAATAAAAAGCATAGAATATTAAAATAATAACCCAATTAATAGTATACCAAATTAACCAAAAATAAATCACAAATAAAGAAGAAAACTTTCTCACTTGATGATTCATTGATCTACCTTTTGACCTGAATCCGTTTATTTACACTCCGGCTGTCCCAAAGCATATTTGCCAATCAAAAGATCATCGTTAATTTGCAATCAAAGTCAAAGTGCGACTATTTTGATTGCCAGCGCTGTAGCAAAGGCAATTGGCAAGCAAAGTCTGTATGGCAACTGGCGAAGCAATAAAACCGAGCAAATGAAATTTGTATTCACTTTATATAATTTTGACGATTTTTCAAATCAAATACACACGGACCGCACATACGTCGGTTGGCCCAAACATACACACATATATGTGTATATTGTACATATGTTAGAAAGATTCCCTTTTTTCGAAACGAACACAATCATGTGCAAACGTGTTTTTCAAATGGATTACATGAATAAAAGATTTATACACGTAAGGTAAATCAGTAGCGGGTTACCAAGATACTCACCGACATCCTGCTTTCCCCGGAATACCTCATACTCCGTAGTCACCCCCCTCTTCCCTCCCACAACTCCCTATTCCCAACAGAAGACGTGCAAGTGAAAATATGCGCAGATGTAAGCAAATTTGAGGGACGACAAGGGTCGGAAAATGCTGGCAGAGAGAAAACCCAAATGGAAAATCCCACAGAACCCGGCCAAAGGTAGATGATGCCTCTTGCCATTTATTGATTTGTTTATCATTTTATGTATTTATGCCGCTTTGATTTCAGGCGCCAAATCGAATCAAGCGCGAGGGGAAATAAAACATCAGCAACAGGATTATTCCGAGCACACAACACACAAGCAGAGTGGCATAAAGTATTCACATTGAGGGATCCGAATTTATATTATTTTTAAGTTCTACTCTCCTTGAGTTTGTTTAATCTGTTAGTGGTTTCTTGATGTTTTTGATTCGGTATTAAGAGATTTTTATTTATATTTGGACATTTGTAAAAATTTCAAAAAATATTAATACTTAAATAAAATTATATGGAATTTAAATCATGGCCAATCGAGAGACCTGTACATTCAACTGATTGTTAAAATAAATGGTCAACAAATAAAATGTATTTTTTCAGACCAAAACTAAGTCGAAAAAACAAAAATGTTTCCACAGGCACTTGAAACTCTAAAATAATATCTTTCCATTATAATTTAAAGACTCATTTTGGATTAGGATTTAGTCAAAAGCACAAAAATATTCAACAATAAATTGTTAATGATAAAAATAATTTTTTTACAATCAATTTCCGTTACTTAATTAAAATTGTAATTTGTAAAACATCATAAATTTTTACACAGTAGGACTGCCTACAAATTCACTGAATATTTAAGTTGACCAGCCCAGAGGCATCGGAATCTGATTCAGCGCCTTAGATACGGGTAGTAGTAGGGATACGTGGCGTATGCGCCATAAACCGGTGCATACGCATACGCCGCGTAGGCCGGATAGCTGGCATAGGCCGGGTAGTAGGCGGCGGAGGGGGAGGGGGCCAGCCAGGTGCCTCCCGCTCCGGTTGCATAACTCACTGGCGTCGTGACCAACAGCTGGGGCTTCGCCTGACTCAGGACCGCGAGCAATGCGAGCTGGCAGGATTATTGATACGTTTGAAATATCCATATATATCCGGTCGCAGCTCGGCACACTCACCATTAAGACCTTGACCAACATGGCTCCCTTTCGATTACTGCTCCTCCGGCTGGCTTTGCGAACGAAATTCAAAATTTTACTGCTCGATTGGTCCGGCTAGTCAATCATATTTATAGCCTTTGGCTGGATGGCTGGATGGGACTGACCGGCGAAGAGAATCACCGAGAATCGGGGAGAATCGGGGAGAGAGCCGGAGAAGTTGTGCCATCATTAATATTGCTAGACCTGAGCGCGCTGAGTGGCATAAATTATATTCTTAATGCTGTTTGAAATTGCTGAAAAAGAATAAATATAAGAAGACGATCAATAAAGAACTTAAATTGATGAAATTCAGAATACTCATTGGGTCATAAAAAGCCTATTAAAATGTAATTTAAAATAATGATAACCAAAAATTAAATATTTAACTTTGGAAATTTCGATTATTCATAAAATTTGTTAGGTTCTCAAATATTCTCAAATAATAAAGGAATTTAAAATTGTCATTATTTAAAGAGCGAAAGATTTGGACGATTAATTTTATAATCAGTCAGAAATTATGTGAATCAGTGTCAGCTTTTAAAATTATAATTATAGATTTGTTAAAAGGGTCTTTACAAAGAACAATTTACTTTTAAAATACAAAATTAAAATATAAAATCGAAAACAAAAACCCTGCGAACTATAAAGTAGCAACATATTTTGAATAGCCATCCTTTCGCTTTCTCTGAATTAACTTTCTCCAAATTTAGCTCTATTTCCGGCTGCGTCACAAAGTTGGCCAAACGCTAAACGATTCTGTTTGATACCCTTTGTTTTCCTACAATTAATAGCCAGCAGCGAATGTCGCGCCGCCTTCTTTGGACTGTCATTCATTACTACAGGTACGTAGAACCGCCCTACCTGACTCACTACTTCTACAGTACCGAGCCCCCCTTGAAAACTGCTTTTGTGCATAAAGTATTTGCGTTTATTTAGACGTTGTAAAAATTATAATTATGTGTGCGTGCCTGCCATGCACATGAGCCTGAAATTGGGCTTTGAAACAAGACCATATTTTGCGATCGCTTCGGTTAGATAAGACCCAAGGGTGACGTCTTGCTTAAAGCCTCCGGTCTAGGACACACAATCGACTCTACACTTTAAGCCATAACAGACAGCAAAATTTGCAACTGAGCAAACATGGCCAAAACGTTAGGAAAGCGAAGGGTAGAATATTTCGCAAGCTATAAATAATTAATTAATTCAGACGCAGACAAGCGAGTGAGACCGAAGAGCGTTCTATGCAAATTTCTGAATATAGACCATAATTCACAACCGAACCGAAGCGAACCGAAAGCCCGATGAAGCCATCACTTATGCCCTACCTATAACTGAGTACATGTACACTATTATATAGACGTTTATGCTGGCCATAATTACGAGTATATATGTATATATGTCGATACTGGCGGATATTAAGTTGCGGCAAGTTCACTGACCACCGATGGACTTCGGTGCCCAACTCCGCTTGACCACGCCCAGCCAACTCGATGGAAAGTACTTTGGAGAACTGCTTTTAGCGACAGTTTTTCCTTGCCTCTTTCCGCCCTTTTTTTGTTTTTTAGCTGGCTGGTTTTGCTGCTAATTCCCAGCTAGCTTACAAAATGGCAAATAGTCGCAGCTGGCAGCCATTTTTCTTGTATTTCGCTTTGTTATTGATACCCTGTGTAAGTAGGGGATAATGGGGGCTTATGGGTTCTGAAAGAAGTGAAGGCCACATAGATAGGGAAGTAATAAGAAACAAGAACCAAATTTATTTAGAATATATATTTATGTTATAGACATGATAGATTCAAAAGCATTTCTAATTGTTTAGAAAAAACAATATAATAAGTATATTGAGAAATATTTTAAATTAATATTACTGGAATAATATTTGATGAAAGAAATTATCCCTTATTCTGTTTTATTTAATGTATTTAATTTCTATATAAACATATGATATCAAAAAGGGTATTCTCCCCGTCCATTCAACCCTTTTAAGCAGGCTCAGCTTTGTTGTTCGCAAAGCTGCAACGGAAACATTGCATAATTAAAAAATAGCTACTGTTTACGAGTAGATTGTTTGTTTATTGTGTAGTCATCTCCAGCATCAACTCTTCCCAGCCTCCCCTCGTCCCAAAAGTCCCTTTGCTTTGTTTCCTTTTCGACGGGGTTTTTAATTTAATAAACCGTAGTATTTAAATTAATTAATGAGCAGCGCAGCTGGCGGTGTTAATGTTGTTACAAGTGCAAAGGCAATTACAAAAACAGGTGCGAGGAAAGTTACGGATTTCGGAGGGTTATTTACTGGAATAGTTGCTCCTTCTCGCGGACGACTGATTTCAGATCTCCGGCCAGTTGGCCGTACTCGTCGTTCAGGCGACCTAGCATCTTTCGAAGGATATCCGGTTGGATAACTCCGCTGCAGTGGGTCTTGCAAAGTTCCTTGATCTTCGCCAGGTGAACCATTCGCTCCCGCTGCAGTTCCTCTTGCAGTTCCAACTGGTGGCGCACCTGCTGCAAATCCGCCTCAGTGGGTGATGGTTTTTGTATCAGGATATTCCGGCGATAACGACGCCAGGTGTTTTGATGGCATACGATTATCTTCTTTCGATGCCACCTGAGAACAACCCGCTCGAATCTTCGATCCAGAGCTTGGAGTTTCCAGAAATCCTTCAGTCCCCGAAATCTTTGAAAGCAGGTTCGGAACAACTTCAACTGATTAGGTTTTCCGCGCCAGCGTTTTAGACGTTCCAATGCCCGATAGGCTCCAATTATGAATCCCTTAACTCGCTGATCCGTTCGCTTGGCGTCGCTTGGGGGAAGGGGCATATCCTTCACATCCTTCATTGTGCCATCCAAGTTGTAGTACTCCAAACACTGTACCCTTAGCTTCTCACGGCGAACTAACAATTCCTGAATGGTTTTATCTTTGAAAAATTGAGGGGGTAGCGATTGCCCTCCAGTTTGTCGGGTCATCTGAGCAGGAACTTGCTCCGTGCTTTTTCGAAAGTGCCTTGGCGGCACAGGGGGCGGATTCTTTGGCCTGCTCCCCATGGGAATCGAATATTCAGCTGTTTCGGCTGTGTTTCTCAAACGTTCGGCCATCTCCTCGAAGCAATCTTTCAGGTTTTTCACAGCACTCGATCTGCGGGTAACCTGATCTATTACATTGGTTATCTTCTTGAGTTTCTCTTGCACTTGGGGGATGCAGGAACGAGGTCTCTCGCTTTCACGATTCCCAGCTGAATCCCCACTGTTGCTCGAACTTTTCTCGTAGCTTTTTCTGACATTCTCCATGGAACTTACACTCAAAGGATGTTGATCGTTTTTCGAAAGCTCCTCTTCTAAGGCTTGAATTCTCTGCTTAACGCTCTTTATTTCCGCCTCATTGGCGCATTCAGAGCAGGTCCTCTGGGAATCGGAATTTGATTGGGAGGAAATGGAGCGAGTATTGGGTTCCATTTCCGAGGGTTCGGAAACTTCTTTAATGGGCTCTAATTTTCTAGACCGAGGAATGTGACTGAAAGTTCTTTTGAGTAACGCAGTACGGGAAAGAGGTTGCTCATTTCGTAGAATTTCTGCAATATTTTTGGTACAATCTTTGACTTTCTCCTGGGAATTAACCTTCCTACATGGGTGACCTTTGTATTCATCCACCAACTCATTCAGATTCCGGTTGCAATTCCGCACATCCGTGAACGGCGCCTTGAAAAAGCCAAAGTCCTTCAAGTGACCATGCATCAGGAGCATCAGACTGTTCCGGGCCAACTTCTGGCTGAGTGGAGTCCTCTCGAATACCTTCATCCACATGGCCATGATTAGGCGATCTGATTGCAGGGCCCTCGATTGATCAACATCCTTGTAAACGGCCACCTGCTGTCTGAAATGGCGATCCAGTAACTCCTCGCTTGGTTCTATTGATGCCATGTTCGCATATTCAACAAGATTGGACTATTGTTATTTCCAAAAATTTGTTTTTTGTTTAACCGGAAAATTTAAAAGATTCGAATGAACTCAGCCCGCTGACTGAGATCGGGAAGGGGAAAAGAAGAGGGGTGCTCTTGCTTTACTCTGCGGCTGTCACCGAGCGTTTCTCAACCACAAAAAGCGGAGTGGGCCAAAAGTGGAGCTCAGGGTTTCTCGGGGATGCGTCAAGTGGTGGACCCAAGTCTGGGTAACAAGCTCAAGGAGCAGCGACAGCACACTGTAAATAGAATAAATAAAAATATGATTAATTTTTAATAATGTAATCTAAAAGAAAAATGGACAACATAATATTTCCAAATTAAACACAGGCCTAAGAAGCGTTTTTGATAACATTTTGGTTCTTGCTAGAAATTGTAATTGCTTTTTAAATCTGAAAAAATTATTCCTGGCCAAAATAATTCAATTTTATTATTTTTAAGTACACCTGTAATTCTAAGTGTATCGGCAGCGGCAACAAAACAGTATGCGGTTGCGTGCCACGTAAATTTTCATTAGCACAGCGCGCGTATAAATTAGGAAAATGAAGCAGCAGCGGCAGCAGGCACTTGAGTGCACCGCAACCTCCATCAAGATGCCCCATGGTGGGGTGAGTGGGTGGTGACTGAATGGGCGGCTTAACCGCAACGACAACAACAACGTGGATACGTAGGTGCTGCGGCTTGTGGCAAACTGCTGGCAAAAGTTGCAAATGCCCGCCTGCCTGCCTGCATAAATTTATATTGTTAAACATGAGCTAGAAAAAAGCACGCGCAGCCTGTCAAAACAAAGCAAAAAGCAGGCAAGAGCAAAGAAATGGCCTGACATGCAAAAAGCGGTTAGAAAAAGTAAAGTAAATGCATAACGTACCTCGCAAAAATAGAATACCTTAGTTATAGTGCAGTCAGAGTTCACAGGAAGGCTAATAAAAGACGGGGTCTTCTCGAGATATTTATTTTTTTTATAAAAATTGCTATTTGTAATATGGCATACCCGTGTTGAACAGATGAGAATTACACAGAAATCATTGCTTTTGACAATAATTTCATAAGCAAAATGTTTATTTTTCTTAGCCGGTTTAAAATTTGAATAATCCGATATCTAAACTTATTTTAAACCATCTGGCAACGCCGTGACTTTAATTGGTTACTTAGCTAATTTGGTCACACTGTTTTTTTCGTAATTTTTCTGCGCACGCGTAACGCGTGTTGTTTTTCTTTTTTTTTTGTTTGAAATGGATTTTGAGAGCCAGTATCGCACAAGTCAGGTAAATGGCACTATTTCCATAACCACGCGTCAGGTCCTTGATGAGGATCTGAAATCCGCGCTGGAGGAGGGAGAGGGTGAGGTAAGTTCGTTAATACTAAAATCAGATGTTTCAAAGTTTAAGTGCTGACTTCTTCTTTTGGCAGCTCTACTTAACTTGTATACCCAGGGACCGGCGCAGTTCGCCGGAGAAGATTGTGCAGCTGGCCAGCGAACTGGGTGAGATCTACGCCCTGCGCTTCAAGATCGATTATGCGGGTAATAGTCGCGGTTATGCCTACCTGCAATATATCAATCCGCCCCTAAAAGAGGCGGCAATGGAGTAGTAAGTTTTCTTCTATGGTTTCAAGGGGGGTTGCAATATTAACCCTTACAAATTGTAGTCTGCCCAAGCGATTCCTCCAGATGAACCTCCCCATCAAGGTGATGACATCCCTGAATAAACGTGAATTACTGCTGAACCAGGTGCAGTCGCTCAGGCCATGGCAGGTTTACCAGGAGATGCGCAAGATCTTTCCCTTCGCCATCCTCCGCGTTTACGAGTACCAATCCGGCAAGTTCATCTATATCTTCGGTTACCGCAACAATGACATGGCTGCGAATGCCCATCAGACCATTAGAAATACCATAAGAAGGTTCGGTGCCCGAGCTCACATATCCTGGTTATGTCGGAAGCACTTCCTAAGTGGGCACAAATTAGACTCACCTTGCTGCCAGAAACTAGATGAGAACCATATGCTGCTCGTCACAAGCACAGACAAATATTGTTTCACAATTTAATGTGATTTTAATAGTAGGTAGGTTTTCCTATAGAGTAAGTTCAAACCTATGTTGCATAAGCTAAAAACATGTAGTTGTAGAAAATTTTTTTTTTTAATTTTTTTTTTTTTTTTTTTTTTTTTTTTTTTATATTTTTATTTTTTTTTCCTTTAAATAATCAACCTATTCATAAAACGATTGAAACGATTTTTTTTGTTCCCTTTTTTTGTAATACCAATAACCAAATTCTAAATGAAAGCCTTTATAACTTTTTTAAGCCCCTAAAGAAGAACTCTGAAAGACCCTACTTATTATTTTCAGAGTCATACAGATTATTATACCTTTTTTTTTAGATTTTTGAACCACTACAATTTTTTTTAAATCGTGTTAATACAAATGTAAATATCTACTTATAGACGAGCTCTGTTATAAATGACTATTTTGAAATCAAAACAAATATTTAATAATTTGATCCCGAAAATGTAGTTACATTTTTAAAAAGGCAAGCGCGTATTGAACGAAAAAAGGCAAATTTTTAAACCATCCTGCTGAGATTTCTGTGACATTAAGGATGCTAAACTATTTAGCTACCCATTCGAGTAAAACATGAGCTTTTTCAAGTTGTTAAAGCCATGTGATTTCCCCATTGTTCCCGGCAATCCTTTTGGCCTGAAGCTTTTCAGTCTGACGAAATGCAGCCGCAGCTTGTTGACTTCATTAACTCTGGGCAAAAACAGAGAGCAGCAATAAAAATACAAAAATAAGAAAAACAAAAGCAACAGCGGGACTGCAGTTTTTCACATGCAAATTAATGCAGTGTCTTTGGAGTGCCGGAGTGCCAGGACAACTTGCAGGGCAATGCGACAGCCTGCGGCATAATGCAATTAAATGAGTGCAGCGAGCAGGAGTCGCTGGAGCCCCCGGCTGGCATTGTGTTAGAGTCTGGAGTCTGGGGAGTCCAAAGTGCAATGATCGAGGAGGGAGCACAGTGGCACCTGCCAGCTCATCCGTCGTGCAAAGGATGCAAAGGATGCGAGGCGAAGGACGAGGTACGAAGGACAGGTCCGCTGCGCATTCTAATGCGATTGCCGCACTTGACGGGATGTCGTGGCAAGCGGAAACGGATGTTGTTGTCCTGCTCCTCCTGGTTGCAATTAAATTAGAGCCTGAAATCGAAATGCAGTCAACACGATGATGCAAAAATAAGAAGCGGCAGCCTCATAAATATTCATTAAATTAAGCATAAGTCGAGACATCTTCAGGGGGGCATACAAAAACAAGACGGCTGCTGAATGTTTTCCAAAATCATTTGCATTAATTTGTTAATCCAAGCGCGCGACAGCCACGCCCCTGTTCACTCACTTAAAGGCCATTAAAATTTCAAAGCCATTGTGCGAGATTTAACCCATGCCAATCTGCTCTCCCCTTTGCCGTTGGAGGGTTAAAGTCCTGCAGTCCCGCCTCTGTGACGCAATTACAAAGGACCCGAAGTTTGCTTCTAATTTTCCTCTACTTTCCATAGCAGCGCCAGCATACAGGCATCCATTTTTCGACTCACAGATGATATCAAAACAGTAGTGTTTTAAGGAATTCTATTCTTACATTTTTAGTAAATCTATTTAATTAAATGTTAAATTTTATTCAACTAAAATAAGGACTATATAATAGAAATAGAATTTAGCATTTAACCTAAATCAGTTATCTTTTTAAAAATTCTTTGAATAGTTATGTTTTCTAATTTTAAAGTTTCCTTTTCGTAATTTATATTTTTAATATTACTTAGATTAATTTAAATCTATAGTTAATTAACCTCTAAGATTTTTAGCATTTCATGTTTTATATCTCTATCTTAAACTTTACAAAAAATCTTTTAATTACCAGAGTTAATATTAAATCACGATGATTGCACAGAAATGCCCCTCTTATCCTGCTCACCACTGTATGTGACCCATTTTCGAGTCTGCGATAGAGGGCAACTCAGCCTGAGCTTACCTGGTTATTGCGGCAAGTGCCAATATTTGCCTTTTGATGCGAGCAGCAAAGGATATAGAGGGGAGGATATAGTGTTTTGGTGGGGGATGGCAAAAGTCAAGTGGGGGAGGAACGACGCCAACTGACACAGTTTGTTTTAGGCTTTAAGGCGGTCGGTCCTTGGATTTGGGTCACAGATTGCCTGGGACAAAGGAGCCGAAGGAACGGGTTCCGGGGGCCCTGTCACCGGAAAGCGAAAGTTATGCACATATTGAGTTCAAGCTTTAAGGGGAATGTGCCAGTCCAATTTCTTGCCGGTTTCAGCTTTTTGAGTGCGGTTTTAGTTCCGTTCTTGGCCCTTTTCCATTTTCGTGCATTTCTCTAACCGCATCTGCAGCAAAGAGCATGACAGATGTGGATGATATACGTAGGGATGAGGATGGATATACCCATATATGGATGAGGATGTGGTTGGGGACGAACCGCCAACCTCCAGCACTTAGCGCGAATTTTTTGATGATTTTTTAAGCAACTTGTCGTTGGCTTGGAAATGCCATTACCGACATGCATCATGCATATGGATGACTGGTTGTTTTTCCTGTCCTCCTGCTCCGCTGGCTTTGGTTTAGCCAGATGGAATACGAATAATGGGTTGCTGGGTAGCACGAATTCAAGATGAGCTGGGAACCGTCTTTAAAAAGTTACCAACTAGTTTGCCGCCGAAATTTGCATGTTAAGCGGAGCTGAAAAGCTGAAATGTTTTCATAACTGATGAAAGCACTGCAGCTGCGAATATATGAACTGTGTTTCTGTCGCCAGTTAATTGAAAATATATGTAATCAAAACAAGAGTTTTTATGACAAAATGGAAATGAACACAAACATATTTTAATTTATTAACTTATAGTAAAGCTAACAAGTTGTTTAATGGTTGCATTATTTTAAAACTATAACTATACTTTACTCAAATATAAAGCGTTTTAAAATATGTTTCCAACTTGTGAGAGACCAAAAAAACTGAGAAATGTATTATTCAAACGCAGAAAATCTCTTAAAGATTATAGATTATATCCTCAGACATTTTCATTTCTTTGCCAAGACGATGAAAAACTTTATCATCGATTCCTCACAAATACTTGAGAATTATTTTCTTGTCCTTTTCCGTTGGCAAACTTCCACTTGCAACTCACCAGCTCATATTTTATTAATCAATTCAATTTTGTCGCCAAAAATTATGAAAATTTCCCCCAGATGCTGCCTGGCTGCGTTGACAGCACAAGTTGATAATGACTGCTGAAGAAGGCCAAAAGTGCCAGAAGTTAAAACAACACTTTTATTGACTTTTACGGAATGCCTCCTTCTGGGTGTTTTTTTGGTCGGGGACTAATCGTCATCCCCACCCCACTTTTAACACTCTGGATGCTTGCAAATTAATGAAAAAACTTGTGGGCGTTGCCGTCCGAGTTGGATATAAAACACAAAAATATTTATTTTTCATAAGGCGAATGGCGAGAAGGTCCTTGAGGTCGTATTAAAAAATTCCCAACAGCGTCAAGTGGGAACAGTTGTTTTTGCTGGCAAATGAGTTTACGAGCGTGTCGTGTCCTGGTTGCTTTGTTTATGCTGCATATTAAATAAATTTTGACATCAGCCACGACAAGTCCTCCGGCTCTGGCTTTCGTCTTCGGAGTGTTTTTCGGCAAACTTTGCTTGTTGACAATAAAATAACATTTTGCACTCACTTAGCCCAGCTGGGCTTTTCCCCACTTCCCGGCCCAACTTGCCACCATTCGAGAGTTTTAATGAAAAAAGTTTTCGACTACGAAGGCTCATATTTTTGGTCCGGAAATTGGCATGCAATAGAGTTGATTTCGGTGCGCAATTTATTGTATTTATATAGGAATAGGTTTGTGTACGGAGGCGACTTCATTAAAATGTACACTTGATCATTGCTTGAATTTCTTGCGCAAACTTTCCATGAAGGAGAGCGTGCTGGGATGTGGCATAACAATATTACGCATACGCAACGTGAGCTGAAGCTGTTGCTGCCTCGGAAGCCCGAGAAGCTGATTGTCAGCCGCTCGTGGGCATTGCAAATCAATCAATAAAACGCCAGGCGAAGTCAATCGCAAGGAATTTTGCGCAACACACAATCAAACCCATATTGCTTTGTGGGAAGAACACTGGGAAAACCGATTAATTCGGGTTTGGATGCATAAACTACTTTTAAATCGAAGCTAAGTAAAACTATTAATAACTAATTCATTTATTCCATAATAAATACAATATATGTTTTTGTGTAAGAACATTAAAATGATTCAAATATTTTTAATTCTCGATTTTATTATAAAAGAAAAATTTAGTAAAATATCTTTGTTAACTGACTTTCAATTAAAAATAATGTAAATAATTTACAAAATATTTTATAAGTTTAATTTAACTTTATCTCCGAGAACAATACAAATAGCTGTGATTCATAAGAAAAGAAATGAAACTAATCGGATTTTTCTTTAATTGAAGTCTATTAAAATTAAATGTGCTCCATTTAATTATGTGGCATGTGCAATTTAAATCCGCTAATTAAACTATTATGAGCTTTTTAAAATTGCCCCGTTGTTGTTCGATTTTCCGGCAGTGTGTGAAATTGTGAAATGCTATGCGCAATACTGAAGCAGCTGCTCATACTTTAGCTAACATTCCGATGGAGAGTCAAACGGTCCGTCAGACGGACGGACAGCAGTTGGTGCTGACTGACAATCGATTATTTGCAGAGTGCAAAATAAAACGTCAAATGAAATAAAACACAACGGAGTGGAATAAAAAATATATAGAAATGTATTTACTATGTATGTATAAGATGCAGCCTTCTAGTTGCTTTGGCATCGGTTCCCGGCATCGGATTCCTTTAGTCGAACGGCAATTTAATTTCAATTTCTCCGTTGCCAGGCTCCACATCACTCCCCGCCGTTCTCCATCTCCGATTTCACATTATTTATGGTGCAATAAAAAATATATATACCAACCTACGGAGGCAAAAACTTTGCATTAGCATAGCAACAATATTTGCCGACTCTTTTGTCCTTGCCACAATTTTGTTGCGAAATTTCATTATGAACGGATGTCGCTTAAGTGCACATTGAATTCAATTAGAGCCCGACACAACCCATGCAATTCTGCATACAAGCTGCCGTAGAATTCGCATGGTTTGTGGATATGTGAGCGTACATATCTATGGTTTCAAACCTGCCAATTGAAAATGGAATTATAAAATATTTCCCACACTCACACACACTGTCCGACGAGATGTCCTTCTAAGGAGCAGTTTGGTCGAAACAGGACATAGGAAACCGCAACCAGATGTTGTCTCTGTATGCGTGTGTGTGCGGTTCTGATTGGAATGCGCTACATTAAGAAGTCAACTCTTCCGGGTGTAAATAAAGCTATTTTCCAAGGAATTTCCATTAAAAACGGTGTTTGGAAAAGTTGCCCAAAGAACATGGCTTCGTCAACTAAAAGTTGGGCAAAGTAAGTGAGGCAAGTGCATAGGCAAAGAAATGTGGCAGTAAAAAGTTGACCATTCACTTGTAAAATTTAATTTACAAGTTTTAAAAAGTTACCAAGTAAAAATGCGTATAAATGCGATTTGTTAAGCTGGCGAAAATAAAAATAAATTAATTTGTTGGCTTTTCTTCGATTCAATCTTTATATTAAAATTACATCTTACAAATGTAAAATTATTAATTTCTTATATTGTAGTAACAGATTTAAAGATTTTTTTTTAATATAGTTAATGTTTTATTATTATGGGGTAAACGATTTTAAGATTTTTCCCTAAATTACAGTTCTTCTTAAAATAATGTAAACAATTATAGATTTAATCACTTTTAATTTAATAATTATAATAAAAAGGATTCCTCTTCAAATTGATGTCCTACTGCACTAAAATGGTTTAATTGCGCCACAATCATCCATCTGGAAAATACTCGAAAGATAAATAGCCCGATGTGCGACCCATTCGTTTCTGAGATTCCCCTGGGCCATCTTCGTTTAATGTGTCTACATAATAGCGTTCACCGGCTTCCATCTGGCTGGATGTTGCTGGATTCTTTGCTTTCCGCCTCTAAATTTGCTGGCCAACTGCAGGCTGCTGGCCAAGATGCTAGATGCGAGGGTTTCCTGCATCCTGTCGTTTCCTGTGCACCACCAGACCACCGAACTACCGCACCACCCGGCTGCAAGTGGGGCAGGCTTCATCTTCTTCTGCCAGTCCAGTGCTGTGGTGGCCATTATTTCCTGTATTTAATTGCACTACTCTCGGCTGCGGTTTTCTGCTACATTTGTTGCCGCCTGCAAACGACCAAGGACTATAATGTACTTTGGCTAACCGTCCTCGGGGCAGTGCAGTCCTTTCGGGACCCAGGACCTCAGCTTCACATCTCCATTTTTTCTTCCTTTTTTTTCGGGCTGATTGCCGTTTGCCGGTTCCTTCTTTGTGTGACGTATTTGTTGGTCACTTTGCAGGGGCAGTGGCAGTCATCAAATGATTTATACTTTAATAAGCGTGCTCAGGACATGCAGAGAAATTAGATGTGACCACACCAACCTCCTCGGCACTCATCGTCCGGCTGACATTTTTCTTTGACGCTCACAAAAGGAATTTGCGCAATTTATGAGTGGCATGAGCGGGCAGAGAAAATACCAAAGCAGCATTCGAGAAATTAATAAGGAAGTCGGGCCAGATCGGAAGTGTGGCGGCAGCGGGGGAGGGGGAAGATGGCTTCTCGAAAGTATTTCCGGTATTTGTGCCATTAAGGCAAGCGAAAGGCGGCGAAAGGTGACAAAAATGCACGCAACCTCAGCCCCTGCGAATTTTTGAGTAGTTTGCAGGATGTGCGCTCATAAGTATGCAATCATTTTACACTCAAGAGCTCTTAGCTTTCTACGAATTTCACTAAAACCTTTTACAGGTACTTAAAAGTAAAATATATGTCATTTTTCATTACCGGTTTATGGCGAAAAACCTTGGGAATATAATAATTTTAATGTGAACATACGTTCTTTTTAGGAGCAATAATCACAGTTTTTAGTTTCATTCTGTTCAAGGAAGAGGCATTCAAATGCATTATTAAATAGAAACACCTCTTGACAAGCTAAAAAACTTACAAAAGATATAATAGGTCTTAATAGTAGACTTTTTAAAATGTCAAATAATATTATTATGGAAACCTAAAACATAATAATATTTATTTTTCTACGTGTTTATGTAGACAACATAAAAACCACCGCCAAATGAAATAATATCTCAATTTAAATTTCAGATAGTTTAATTTGCATACAAAATCTTCTCTTGAGGTCTAGAAAAATAAATGCCAAGCTATGAGCCAAGCTCACAGGGAAATATTTTCCGTAGGAATCACAATCTGTTGATTTACTTCTTCAGCAGCAGAGGAGCGGCAGCGGTGGCGATGTAGGGACTGGCCACATAGGGCGAGCTGTAGGCCAGGGGGGAGGTGTAGGCGGCGGCGTAGGGGGCGGCAAAGCGGGCCACTGGAGCAGTATAGGCGGCAGCAACGGGGGCGGTATAGGCGGCGGCAATGGGAGCGGTGTAAGCAGCGGTGTAGGCGGCGGGGAAGGCGGCGCTGTGGGCCACCGTGTTGGCGGTGTAGCTGGAGGCGTAGGGAGCCACGTAGGCGGCACTGCCCACCACAGCCGGAGCGGTATAGGCCAGAGGAGCGGCGGCCAGAGGAGCCACGATTCCGGGCTTGGCAGCAGCCACGGCCACAACAGCGAAGAAGCAGACGGCGAACTGTTAATTATAATTCCCCTTAATTAGTTAGTCCTTAAAACGGAAACCCCAAAGTCCTTCAAGAACTTACGAATTTCATGTTGATTGTTGGTTTTTTGTTTTTGGTAGCTGTTACTACTTGGAGCTGTGAGCTTGATTTGATATTGAGTTGACCAGGCTGGCCAGTTTATATAGGTTCCATACCCACTTAAATAAACGGCGAAGGCCGCGCTTAAAAATGCAGCTGTCGTCGCTGACATCGCTACTCAAAGTCTTTGACTTCGTTCCAACTTACTGGGCCAATCCAAGCTGTTGTTGGTGGGCACGAACACTTGGCACGTGAGCGCCGAATTCGTAAAGGGCATTGCCGGGTTTCCTACGCCCAGTTGACCTTCGGCGAAATTACCTTTAGATTATGCACTTTAATAGCTATTTTATTATTTCAAGTTAAAATTCTTGAGGCATTGGGCCCGCATAGTTATCTTATTTTACTACCTTTAAATAACTTTACCAAAATTACAAAAAATCAGTCTCGTTACTATAAAATTAGTATATATTGGAATATCACATGCTAGAGTTCTTAAAACTTCATACATACATATGTCTATATTAAACTTAATAACTCCTTTGTGAAGGAAAATTAATAATTGAGAATCGCGTACTGACGTCCACAGTAGTATATATTATAATATGAGTTCTAAAATGTCCTTCTAACTTATCTAGATATTTTTATAGACCAACGTCGTTTTGCTTAAATTTTTGTAAATTACCCAAAATTTAAGGACCTAAGATTTAAAGGTCCTATTGGGTTTTACATTGAAAAACGAAGCCTTAGTTCCTTTATCTGTTTTTGATATCAGACCTAACTTTTTAAAATACATAAAAAATATTGTAAGGATTAGACCGCCAGCACCTAGTCAGTTGCTCGTAGGTGTACCAACTGCACCTGCAGCGCCCTTCTGCGCTCTTTCTCACTTCCTCTCTCTTCGCTTCTTATCTAGCTAAATCTGTCGCGTTATCTATTCAGTCAAACTGCTTGTAAGCCCATCCATATACTTCTTGAAGCCAAGCTTTCAGTTCCGTCAGTGCGACTCTGAACTTTTACCAATAAAGACGGCAAATTTGTTTGTATTCGTTGTTATATAATGTAATTAAAATTTAAATGACCTATTCGCATTATTATTCATCCATTTTATATTTGTTCCCATAAAAATATAATTTGAACATAGGAGAGTTGCATCCGTTTTTTGTGTGTATAAGGGTCTACTAAAAACCAAAGCAGCGATTTGTCCATGTACCTGCAGTTATTCTCACAATCTTTTTGGTGCCATCAGATATCTTTTAAGTCCCTTTGTCCCATTGTCCATCTACTAAATGTGACTCAATCGGGGGGATTTTCCAGGTAAACAGCAGACCAGCAGACCCAGCTTAAACAAGATAAGTGATATGTTGAGAACCCTGAGAGGACTATAAATTGTAGATCAGCTCTGCAGTCAGTTGCAGTTAGGAACTCTAAAAGTGCGGACAAAGAGTGAAAACAAAGAAAATATAATCAATATGATCGGAATATACCTACTAATCGGTGCAGTCACAATGCTATATGGGCACTTCCAAAAAAAAGTCCACCAAGCCAAAAACCTTGAAACTTGAATAAAACATATTTCAACATGATTTTGCCCCGATATTAGTTTCTAATTAGTTGGATACTGAGCTTAACTACACATTTGGAGTATAGTTTGATTATTTTTATGACAAACTCCACCAATATACGCAAAAATCAGTTTTTGGCTATTTTTTTGTTATTTTTTGGACCTATCTTCTGTTGTTAATTTATCCTATAGGAATGCTAATATGTAACATTTTTCTGTACTGAATGCTTCATTCACATGCTAAACTATTAAGTTAAAAGCAAAACATCCAGCAATTAAGAGATAGAGGTAAAGAAATCCGCTTTACAAAACAGTCGGAAAAAATGTCCCGAGCGACATGTCCCGAGCGAATGTGGTTGAAACTGTATAAAAAAAAAACGGCAAAGAATTTTTGAGTAAAACCAAAAGCATTTCACAGCGACATGTTTGAACAACATTCTAAAAAAAATCGCATTAAAATATTCCATCAGAATTCGCTAATTTCTGGTGTTGTATGAACTTCCCCGAAATCCACTTCTATTTTTGTCCCGAGCGAATACGGCAGTTTTTTACCGATATCTTAAAAACTAAAAGTGGTACAAAATCAAGATTTTTACCAAAAATAGAGCTTGGGAAGAGTGAAAAGAAAAGCCCATAATTAAAACTAAAATCCATTGTTTTACAATTTTTTTTCAACTTTAAAGGTGTGCAAATGTCCCGAGCGACATTTTGGAAGTGCCCATATGTCTACCTCAAGTGGACATTTAGCTACTGGGATCGAAAGGGTTTTCCCTCCACTGGAGTGAGCATCCCTTTCGGTGCTTTGGAATCCGTGGCCAAGGGAAAACGATCCTTCGGAATGGCCATCTACGATATGTACCAATCCACAAAGGAACCGGTGATTGGAATGTATCTCACCTTGAGACCTGCTCTCCTAATCCGAGATGCTCAACTGGCTCACAATGTGTTGGTCAAGGACTTTGCCAGTTTCCATGATCGAGGTATTTATGTGGATGAGAAGAACGATCCCATGTCGGCGAGCCTGTTCCAGCTGCAAGGAGCTAGCTGGAGGGCCCTACGAATTAAGCTGACGCCCTCTTTTACCTCCGGAAAATTGAAGGCTATGTTCGCGACCTCCGATTCTGTGGGGGATAAGTTAGTAGCCAGCATGAAGGCACAACTACCTGAAACGGGCAGCAAGGAGTTGGAACTCAAAAAGTTAATGGCAACGTAAGAATTGTTACTACTAATATTTAATCAAATAATCAAAAACTTAAAATTCTACTACCTTTAAACTGAAATCTCTTATATGATTTATATTTCTCCCCTCAGCTATGCCATCGATATTATTGCCACGACCATTTTTGGCCTTGATATTGACAGTTTTGCAGATCCCAACAATGAATTCCAGGCTATTAGCAAAAAGCTGAATCGTAAGCATTTCGAAGATATTATTCGTGGAGCTGCTAGTTTCCTCTTTCCCGGGTAAGGTTTAAAAGAAAATTTATAAATTACATATTTAAATATATCATCTTCATAGCCTTGAGAAGTTCTTCGTGCAAATCGGCTGGAAACAGGAGGCCACTGAAAGGATGCGTCGTTTGTCCCACAGAACCGTCGATCTCCGAGAGGAGAACAATATAGAGCGTAAGGATTTGCTGCAACTCCTTTTGCAACTCCGCAATCAGGGAAAGATCAACACTGATGATTCCGTTTGGTCAGCGGAGAGTACTAAGAATGGTGTGAAATCAATGTCAAAGGATGTGATTGCCGGCCAGCTACTCCTGTTCTACATTGCGGGCTATGAGACGACCGCCTCTACAGCCGCCTTCACTCTGTACGAGCTCACCCAAAACCCAGAGGTGATGGAAAAGGCCAAGGAGGATGTGCGTAGGGCCATCGAAAAGCACGGCGGAAAGCTGACCTACGATGCCATCTCGGACATGAAGTACCTGGAGGCCTGTGTTCTCGGTAGGTTCTGACAGATAGATATAGATCTCTGGCCTAGAGGCAAAAGCTTTGTTTTTCCCAATGCCAAGCGCTTACCAAATTTCTAATCACTTGGAAAAATAATACATGACTTCGTTTCTTACTATAATAATAATATGTTTTCATACAGAGACTGCCCGCAAATACCCGGCTCTTCCATTGCTAAACAGAATTTGCACTCAGGACTATCCTGTACCCCATAGCAAACTAGTGATCCGAAAGGGCACACCAGTTATAATCTCCGTTATCGGAATGCATCGCGATGCCGAGTACTTCCCCGATCCGCTTAGCTATCAACCAGAACGCTATCTGGAGGATAACAAAAACTTCAACCAAGCGGCCTACATGCCTTTTGGCGAGGGGCCCAGGATGTGCATCGGTAGGCAATAATCGAATAAATATTATCCAATAGAAATACAACTTTTCGATTTTTTTCATTTTTAATTTGCTTAAATTCTGGACAAGCATTTTACTATAATTGATGGCTTATGTCCTGTTTCACCAAATCTACTTACTCTTATTTATTTATTTTCAAGGCGCACGCATGGGAAAGGTGAATGTGAAGATAGCGATTGCCAAGGTTTTGTCTAATTTCGATCTGGAGATCCGCAAGGAAAAGAGTGAGATTGAGTTCGGAGTCAATGGAGTGCCGTTGATGCCAAAATCAGGTGTTCCTGTGCGTCTTTCTCTGAAAAAGTAGTCCTCAAGATGACGTTCTTAATCCCACAATAAAACTTAGTAAATCCTTTAATAAATCTGCATTGTTAGTTAATAAATATTTGGTGGTGGAGTCATAGACTTTTTAAAACGACTTTAAAATAAATATCTACATCGTATTACTGGCGTGTATTAATGTTTATAATAACCGATAATAACACAGTGCAACATGAAAAATTTAACATCAATTTAATGGGAGGAAAATACTCATCAAAATTAGCAAAAACCCATTAGGGATTCTCTGGCTTAAAGTTAAAATACCATTTTTATTTTTAATGGCCGTAGTAAAACATAGTAGACCTTAGTAAAACATAGTAAACATAGTAAATATAGTAAAACATAGTAATCCATGGTAATAGTAAACCTTTTTCACATTTTGGATCAACTCTTCCCTTTCCACCGATCACAAAAATAGAACCAAAAAAAAAACTGAAAAAATTGAACTCGAAATTCCAAAAACTTACAAAAAGGTTATAACAGATGAGCGATCTTAACGAGTGCGCCCTGGATCGCCACTTCGCCGCCCAGTTGCGTGACTTGCAATCGTACTCAAAGGAACACCCAGTTAGCCAGGAGGATTTTGCCATTAGCCAGCGCTGGATGAAATACTTCCAGGGAGCTAAAGGCCTTGACAAATTCGCCCGGAACTGCATGTTGATGCTGATGTTCAACCAACTAAGGGAGATTGGCCACCTGAGTAAACCCTTCACTGAAATGGAGAACATGGACCGCTCATTGGATGATTTGGTGAACGAGTACCAGGTTACTGCAGTGGTTGCAGATGCCCAGGAAACGGAGACCAGTGCCTCGAGCCCTGACGGTGGGAGTAGTGGCTGCTATCAGGAGGTGACCTCAGAGGAGCCTCTTACCGGTCCCCAATTCGAGAGCATAAAACAGGCGAACCAGGAGCTCCTCAAGGAGATTGACTCTCTGCACAGCCGCACCGTGGAAACGGAGAAGCTCTACAGGAGCCGAAATCAAGAGCTGGAGAAGAAGATGGCCGATAAATCCAAGAAGGGCAAACCGAAGCTCGTTCAGGAGGGCATCAGCCAATCCTGCCGAGCGGCCATTCACCTTTTGAAGGATTGGCCGGGCGATACAGTGCGACTCAATTTCCTGGCCACCTGCTTTGAGCCCCTCCTGCGGAAAGAACTGGTAACCAGCTTACAGATCGCCGAGCTCGATCTCAAATTGGAGGACACTTTGAACAGCCTGGTTATGCAGGCCTGTTCGCGAAGGGACGACAATGTTCGGATGCTTTATGAGCAAATTTTGAGGCATGATAAGAATGTCCTTAAAGAAAAGGAGGAGAAGCTGCGCCGTTTTCAGGAATCCTTGAAGCAGGAGCGTCAAAGACTGCGGGTGCTTTCCGAGGATCTGAAACGGCGGGAGGATCTCATTCGGAGGCACCAAGCCATCGCCACTTTGGCAGCTACAGGACTTCCGCCCGAAGACCTGGGCAGCCTGAGGTGCGAGTTGTGTCAAAGGGAAGTCTCCGAAAGCGACGAGGATCTGCCAGAATTTTCCGATGCATTTAGCGATCTGTCCGTAGACAAATGCTAAACCTTCGACGATAACCTCCACATAACACATTCCCACATTCCAAATGTATTTTCCATTTTCTTGTTCGAATCAATAAATCGTTGAGTTGTTTTGAAAAGTTCTGACCCCCCTCTCACTTTTCACCGCCTGCGTCCCTGTCAACTGCAAAACTTTTAATGTAGTTTTAATTTTCTCGTAATCACGGAGGGAAGTTGGCTGCAGTCTTGGAAAGTCGGCAATCATCTACGCACTTACACTTTGGAAAATTTACCTTTAAATATCTATACTTTTATAGTTCTAAATTTTAGAATTGCATATTTTTAAGGCTGTTTTTTTAAATATTTTAAATCGATAAAGTTTTGTAAAAAGTCATTAAAACACAGATTCAATTGGTGAAATATTTTAGCAACCGACTTTATATTTTGATATTAAATTTGGTATGTGTTTCTGAATTTAAAAATCAAATATTTGTTCTTCAGTTTAAACTGATTCTGACTACTTGTTTTCTCCCAGTGCAGTGACCACTCTTCAGCCTGCGAAGAGGAGAAAAGAAAACGCAGCCAGAAACTACAAAGTAGGAAGAGCAGCAACAGCTTTGTTCGTAATTAGTTTTTAAGCGCTTCGAAAGAGTGTGTGAAAGCAGGATATATATAGGTCCTAAGTGGGCCCAAGGAGTGTGTGTGTGGGTGTGTGCCTTTGGTTATGACAACATGCAGTTAAGCACTTCTTAACGATGGCGGACTGCCGATAATGGTCTTGCGAAAATAAGTGCAATTGATTTTCTTGGCAGCGAACATAAATTTCAAAGAAATAAATTGCTTTTAATGCCATAGTTTCGTCATTCCAAAGCTTAGCTGCGGCAAATTGCTAACAAAAATATGAACTAGGAATTTAAGACTTTAATCTTTTACCAGGTTCCAAACTTAGGACTCCTAACACTTAGATTTTAATAAATCATTTTTATCAAAAGAGTCTTCAATGATTCCTTAAGGATCTATAAATTTTAAAAATCATACGATTTTCATAAATCGTTAAATATTATGAAACACCAAACAATTATAACAAAGTTTTTATCAAAATAGTCTTCAAAGAATCTTTAAGGATCTTTATATTTTTTTAAAAATCATACGATTTTCATCAAACACCAAACAACCGAAACAAAGTTTCGCCGCCTTGAAAAGCGTATAAATTTAAAAATTTTGGTAAAGCCAAAACAATATTTGCCATATACACGCTTAAATAGTTTTTCTTTGCCTCAGCCCCAAAAACCATTCATTTTCCAAAAAGCCAGAGGAAAAAGTTGCAAGCAGTTGGTAAAAAGTTGTCAAAGAAAATGCAGTGCCCCTGCAATCCCCAAACTTTCTGCCAGTCCATCTTTCTCCACTGCCGCCTGACAATAGCTCAAAATATGTTGCGCCAACTGTCGATGCGGCAGGAGAAGAGTAAGAAATAAGTGTGCAAAAAGTTTCCGCTTGGCTTTAATGATGCGTGCAGACAGCCAAAGTTTAGTTGGCCAAAATGGAGGAACCATTTTTGAAGAGCGCTTACATTAGTGGCATAAAGTTAATGACAAATTTCGTGGACTTGTGCGGATGCACTGTGCAATTTCCGGTTAACAAGAGCGAACTTCGCAAACAATTAAGGCCAGAAGTAATGGAATATTTGCGTAAAACTAAGCATCTGCGGCCGCCGGCAAAAGTTGCATTTTTGCGGCACTAAAGCGACTCCGGCAGAAGCATTATGGCGGAATGTGAATGGCCCACCGGAGGTGCCGGAGTGCAATGCTGCTGCAACATCTCCGACGTTGCTTAATGGCCTCCTGCCCGGCATAACACTTCGGGGACTCGCAATACGACCCATCTGCTGCCCCAGCACCGTTCCTTAATAAGTTACATCTGTACATTTGCCTTGATTGCGTTGTCCTTGTTTTCTCTCGTATATTTTACACTTGGTTAGTCTCTTGGGGCGGCGTTTTACCGGCGGAATGATGCCGCCTGGCAAAGGTTTCGCCCACAATCAATGGAAAGACCAAGCTGGCCTCGGCATAGACCTTAACAGGCGTGGCATCCTTTCTGATCTTGCCCCAGGATATGGCCTCATCCGGCCGGGCGCCACTGTCGCTGCCATCAAACTCCGAGGCGGTGTTGATAAAAACCGAGTAATCAGCTCCATTCCGCATCAGATTGGCGTTGCAAATGTGATGTTTGATCACGCCACCGCCCACGATGATCATCCCACTGTTGACGGCCTTCACGGCCATGGTGTTTAGCCGCCGCAGATCGGAGAGGATGTCCACCACGAGTCCGGGCTGCCGGAAGGAGTGAAAGTACATCATGTCGCCCAGACTGCCGTCCGTCAAGGCGGGACAAAAGACGGGTATTTGATTCTTGGCTGCCCAGTAGTAAATAGAACTGGGATCGCCGATGCGCAGGCCCAACCGATGGATAATCTTCGAAGGCGACCAGACAGTGCCCTCCGACTTCTGCTCCTCCAGCATCTCGTCCAGCAGCGGCATCACCCAGTCCTCGAACTTGCAGTAGTTGTCGTTGGGCACCAGCAGATTGCCAATGCGGTTGATTCCGCGCTCGCGCAAATCCCTGCCGCTCAGCTCAAAGGAGCCCATAAATGTGGGCGCCAGGCACTTGATGAAGTCCTCCTCCACGCCGCCCGCCGTCGTCACAATGCAGTCGATCATGCGGTGCTCGGCCAGGAAACGGATGGTCTCCCGCAGGCCCGACGAGACCAAATTGGATGTGTAGCCCAGGAAAACGGTGCACTTGCTCCTTCGCCTGATGAACTCGTCGCTCTCATGGCTGTCCACCTGGTCGGGCTCCAGTGGCTGCTCCCTGCAATCCAGCTGCCAGTGTTAGGGGTTTGTAACGTATGAAGAGCAGAGTGAGTAACTAAATTACTTACCATTTTGTTGATTTCGCGGATGGCCAGGCCGAGATTGGTGGCCTGGAACCCGGTGTTCACATAGGATTCGAAGAGTTTGCTGTAGTTTACGCCCTCGTTGAAGTCGTAGCCCAGAACTTGGGGCGTGTCCTCCGCCAGAGCCTCGCTGCGCTTCAGCACTGCATCCTTGGCCACCGATGGCTCAGATGACATGGTCAGAATCCTTTAAATTCAAAATAAACAAGAAGTGGGAGCTTAATTCGAAAATCAACATGTGCTGGTTGTGGCAGCCCTGGTTTCCGTTAGAGATGGCATTTGCGAAGTAGCTAATAAAAGCTAACAAAATAGGCGGAATTTTCTAAATTATTAAGTGATTAATCAAAATTTGAATTTCACATTAAATTAAAGTTTTCGAATTGCAAGAACTTTTTATGGGAAAATTTACATTGATTTTTGGTTTAATTTTACTTATTTAAAACCTCTACTTGAGATATGGCTTTTAAATAGCCAACTGCCAATCCGCTTACCAGCACTACCCAGCGCAACTATCGACCCATGACCATCGCTATCATCGGGCGCCACCATCGATTACTCATAGCTATCGCTTGGCAGCTGCCATCGCCAGACAGAAACAAGGAAAAGAAAGAAATTTTTAACATCAGAGATTCAGAGATCTATTGTTAACGGTAGGCCAACCACCAGTCGAACGACTGCCCAACAATCACTGACCTTTCAAACCATGCACCCTGCCCGCTAGGCAGCAAAAGACCCGCAGAAAAGGACAAAACCGAGCCCAGCCAAACGCAGAAGAAGAAACGCCAGCGAGACGAGGACGCCAAGATGATTAAACTATTCACGCTGAAGCAGCAGAAGAAAGACGGCGAACAAAAGGGCAGTCAGCAGAAGAAAGCCTCCGCCGCCCAGCTGCGCATACAGAAAGGTAATCTATGTGATATCCAAACTGCATTATAGCCTAAACATCCCCCTTTCAGATATTAACGAACTGAACCTGCCAAACACTTGCGCCACAGACTTTCCCGATCCCGATGACTTGCTCAACTTCAAGCTGATCATCTCGCCCGACGAGGGCTTCTACAGAGACGGGCGCTTCGTGTTCAACTTCCGCGTCGGCTCCAACTATCCGCACGAGCCGCCCAAGGTGAAGTGCGCCACCCAGGTGTACCATCCCAACATCGACCTGGAGGGCAACGTCTGCCTCAACATTCTGCGCGAGGACTGGAACCCAGTGCTCAACATCAACTCCATCGTCTATGGCTTGCAGTTTCTGTTTTTGGTTCGTATTCTTTGGACTTTCTTATATCTAGTATCACCCACTAGAAAATTCCAAAATTGTCTTATTTCACAAGGGAGAAAATGTGAAAGAATCATAATGTTTCTATTTCTATTATTATTTAAGAATGCTTTAAGATTTGTGTACCTACCTAAACAAATTAATAGTAATTATTTTTAAATAAGGGGGTTTCTGTTTTTGGTTCGTATTCTTCAGATTTTCTTATATATCACATTAATCACCCACCAGAATATTCCAAAATAGTCTTATTTCACAAGGGAAAAAATGTGACAAAAAACATTTTTCCATATTCTAATTTTCTTTTTCTTATAGATACAATTTTATTTTAAAATGCTTTAAGATTTGTATACCTACCATCTTGTAGTTCTATTTAAAACTAAATTTTAAAAATTTATCATATGTTTATTTTTAAACAATTGGTACTAATCATTTTGATTAAGGGGGTTCACCCATTTCTCGGTTTAAAAAATTCGAATTTTGTTTCCTCTAATATAATCTATAACTTATCTAGAATATGTGGTTCTTGAACCACCAATTTGAATTCTGTTATCGAAATATGAGATTTTTATAGAAGGCAATTTCAGATCATTAAATTCTCTTTAAAATTATTATAAACTTTATAATTAATATAGTTCTACTTATATATTTTTTATATTTATATTATCGTTATATTAACTCCCAGTAAATGCTTGCAGGAACCCAATCCCGAGGATCCGCTCAACAAGGAGGCGGCCGACGTCCTGCAGACCAATCGCCGCCAATTCGAGAGCAATGTGAAGAAGGCGATGCGCGGCGGCTGTGTGGGCGAGACCTACTTCGAGTGCTGTTTGCTCAAGTGATATAGGGAATCCGAAGGTCTCTTACTTTAAGCCTGCCCAAACACCCAAACCCCAAAACCCCCGCTAACTGGAGAAGATGATGATGCAAGCAACAAGCAACCACACAGATGACGAAAATCGGCGACAACAAATTAATGTAATAAACGAAAGCAAAATCCACTGCGTGCGAAGAAGAAGCCGACTCGAGTCACCAATTTCTAGTTTTTAATACAATTCATTTAGCAATTTCGCCCGCCCGTCTCTTAATCTTAATCGTAATCGGCATTGGAATCCCTCACAGGTGTATGCTGTGCCTGGCCATCTGCATGTTCCGCCACAGGCACAAATCGGCCACCGCCGACTGCCTTCCCGCCTGCAATCGCAGGTCGTAGAGTCTGCTGATCAGTCCCACGCGAATGTCGTCGGTCACGAGAACCTTGAGAAGCTGCTGCACCAGGCTGGTGGGCAGCAGGCGAAGAACGGGGGCCACTCGCTCCCCGCCGCACTCCACCAGCAGCGAGATGAACTGATAGACGAAAACGGCCTTGGGCGACAATTCATCTCCGCTGACAAACTGCACGAATACTCCGAAAATGTGCTGCACGCTCGTCTGCAGGGGTTCTTTTAGTGTGAGCGGCGTGGTTCGCAATTCCGTGGCGGATGTGGATCCTAGTAAACCTCCGAATCCTCCACCGGCTGCAGATGTATCCGTGAAATCACTGGAGTTGTCGCTACCATCGCCAATCACCTTGCGCACTTTGGCCGCATTGGCCGCCAGTTCCTCCTCGTCGTGCGATCTCGAACGCTTCTTCATGGCCGTCAAGGCTGAGGAGGCATTCCCCTTGCGGGCTTCCAGGCAGGAAATAATACAGTAGACACACAGGCGGGCCAGCACCAGCGATTGGGGCTCATTGATGTCCTCACTGAAATATTAACGCAGTTTTAGATTCAACATCTTTTCTTTTTCAATCGCCAATAATTTGATTCTTTCGATATAAATAAATAATGTAAACTATATAAGATTATTTGACCGATTATGTGGCCTTGGAAATATCTTCAAATTTCTGATTTGTTTAATTCAGTTCTACGTGAAATAAATTGAATGCTTTTCTAATTCATTTCGAATTTAATGAATGAATGAATAATTTTTATGCCAAATTTTTTTGTGCTTTCTTTTGAGAACAAAAAGTGGACATTTTTTAACAAATCAATGTTAACTGCTTAGTAAATAAAATTTAGGCAGATTTTCTCAATTATGGCCCTTTCTTCTTGAAAAAAAATTGTCGTTTGAATTATTTCGGAATTTGTGGCATTCGTCCAATCAATTCTATTAAACTCAAAATTCAAAATCATTTAATTCTATTAAACTCAAAATTCTAATTAATTCATTCATATAAAACAAAAAAATCAAAATAATTCATTGAATCCATTTATGCAGGGCTCTAATAAATAAATAAATTATTTGATAGACTATGTGGCCTTGAAAATATTATAAAATGTAATGCCAAGTACTTACCCCTGTCGACGGAGTATAAGAGGAGCCACCACATACTGCAGCAACGCCTCCGTGGTCTTCTCGATGTCCAGATGCATCACGGCAAACACCACATCCATCGTTCGCGACATATCCCTGGTGTACTTGCAGGCCAGCAGCTGCTCCACCAGCTGCGTGGACAGCCACGCCGCTCCGCCGGCCAGCAGCAGGGACTCGAGTGACTGGGCGGCGCGAACGGGCAGGTGACCGGCATCGATCACAGTGCGCCACACCTCGCGGAACTGCTCGACCAGCGGGGAGTGTGAAATCAGGCGGGATTTTGTGCTCGGAGCTGGATGCACATCGTGTTGCATTTTCCTAATAATCTGATAAGACAAAGCTAACCGCTCCTTGGCGTTTTCCTGGCTGGACAGCTCCTCGCTGGTCAACGGCGCCAGGAACTGCTGAATCATGTTCAGCGGCTTCAGAAGCTCCGTCTCCTTGACCGAATACATGTAGGCACACAGGAAACTGGTGGCGCAAACAGAGAAGCTGAAAAGTCGCCGCTTTATGTTGTCCAGAATACTCTTAACATCCGCCGAGGAGAGGGTCTCCTGCTCCCAGGCGATGAGCACGTGATGAAGGACACCCGGGAGATTCAGGCAGGTCTCCTGCCAACTCAGGCTGCTTGGCTTCAGTTGGGCTGTCTCCGGTTTGCTGAAACTGAGCAGCAGCTCATCCACAATACTGTCGTCGCAGAGGGCGAGAATTTGGCGGGGATTCTTCAGCTTGTTGCGCTCCACCATGCACTCGCGCACCCATTTCTCAAAGAAGGAGTCACCGCGCTCGGATAAAACGACCTGAAATGTAAAGAAGAATTCATTAATATTATAGAGAAATATTTAGGTTTTGAGGTTTTTAGTACATCTGATCCGTAGGTCTGCACAATGCTGGTCAACATGAGAAAAGAGACATCGAAAAGTGTTGAACGGATGACGCACAACTTGCCCAGCTCGCCGGGAACAGGCTTGGAGTTCTCATTGCACTGAATCAGGCGGGAGACGAAGGTTTTGAGGCGTCCTTCCACTGTTGCCACCGAGAGAATCAACTCAAAGCTGTTGCCCACTGGCACCTGGCAGAGAACGTTCACCATGTCTTGCACCTTGTTGGTGCACAGCGTCTTTAGCACTCCGGAGAGCGGAACCTCTGCCCGCTTGATGAAGTTGATGTTGGAGGGTGTCTGCTGGCCATTATCGCATTTTTTCAGCAACTGAGAGGCGGCTTCTCTGGAGGGGGAATTTAAAATCAGAGATCACGGTTAATACAGTATACAAATTGCATTATTTCTCTACCAACCTCTGACTGGCGAACTTCTTGACATGCACATCATTGACCAGCTGCTGCTTGGTCCAGTCGTTCAGCAGGAACTCGATCATATTGCACGAGCACTTGGTGTCCATGAAGTCCAGCAGCAGGTTGTCCTCGATGAGCAGCTCCAGGGCCTCCACCAATTCGGGAATGTAATCCGCCGGCGGTGGCTGCTCGCCGGGAATCCGCTGCAGTGCGTGCAGCTGCTTGATGATGTGCGGCATCTTGAAGAACATGAAGGCACCCCACATGGTATCCGGACTAGTATCGGCCACATTGCTCAGCGTGAGGAAGCCGGCACGAATGATTTCGTAGAAAAGGCGTGTATTGGAGTACCTCTTCAACCGCTGCAGCATCTGCAACTCGGCCACGTAGTAGCTGGTGTCCTTGCAAGGGTTCAGCAACACTTCCACCGCCAGCAGCGGCTGCACACAGCACGAGATCTTCTCCAGCGTTGGCGGCGCATTCAGTGGCTGCATATCCAAATGCTTGGCCTCAATGTAGGCCAATTGCTGGAGTTGCTGTTCTACGCTTGGCGAGTTTAGCGTGAAATTGGAGTTGGTCAACGATCCCTTGATGCTGGAGTACTTATCCCGAATCCGTCCGCATATTTCGAGCTCCTCGTGGCAACCCACAAACAGCATGGAGAGCAGGAACTGCTGCTGACTCAGGCGCTCGATCACCACGCAGGTCTGGTCCAGCATGTACGATTGCTCGGCGCTAATCTCCCCGTAAAGTTCGTAATGCTGAACAGTTCTGGCAAAGATTTGGAGCAGCCAGTAGACCAGGTGGACCACGGCGCTCGGCAGCACAGCTTCCTCGGATTTTATGCTGGAAAAGTGGAGTTTAGAGATGAATTAAGCATATAAATTAGGAGGTTTGTTATATCTACCGGCAGGTAACTCCATCCACAATGCTGGCCAGGAACTCCAAGAGCGCTGTGATGCAATAAACACGCTCCAATTTGTCATATTTAGCAATGCAGCGAAGGACAGCGGCATGCGAGACGAGATGGGCGCATAAAGAGTGCTTCAGGTAATTGAGAACCAACTGTAGGGATTAAATAGTTAAACCATAAGTTAAATTAATTACATTTAAATTTTCAACAATTATTTAAACCATCAGTTCTTAATGTTAATTGTAAATGTTGTATACAAGTGTAAAACTCTAATATAAGTAGGGACTTAAATATTTTCATTATTTTTAGGCTCAGATGACACATTCAATTTTTAACGTCAATTTATTGTAGCAATTGTTCTTTAATGGGACTTTAAACGAGCGCGAGAAAGAATCAAATATTTTTGGCTGCTCTGTCACTAACATAAATAATAAAGGCGCGATATCATATTAATCCTGACTCGCTTGAACTTATTTAAACTCACACAGATGAAAAATTGTCGCAATAAATTGACGCTAAGAACTAAATGTGTCATCTGAGCCTAAATATTGTTCATGTGACTAGTGCATTAATTTATAAGGAAATCCTTGTAGCACTAGGAAATGAGAAAGAAATAAATAATATATAAATCAACTAGTCCTTTACCGGATTTGCTGTTGAGCCAATGAGCGCCTGCTGCATCAGACAGTCCGCCAGATTGTACACATCTCCACTGACTCCCCTGGGCAGCACCTGAAAAATTAATCAACAGAAACTATGTTTAAACTATCTTACACTTGCTTTTCCTATCAAACTTTCACACAATAATCACATAAAATAAAATACAGAACAGCCAGAACATCGAGTTAGGATTTCCACTTAGATATTAACCATACAAAGTTACATTCTTCTTCGTTAAGCGACCAGATGATGTTCCGTTTAAAAATCTTTCGCATGATGGGCGGAGCGGCGACAATTGCGCCTTGCCTGGAGTTGGATCGGAGCAGATCCTGCTGGATTTTGAGGCGGTGGGTCAGTCAATACCAGTTCAGGACCACCAAACAGGCCTACTATCCGGATCGCCAGCGGGAGGCGAAGCGACCGGCGGCGGGAACGGCGCCACAACAGGTCACCTCGCCGGCTGTAAAGTCTTCGCAGGGACGCGGCATGCCCAAGGATTACTACTACAAGGTTTTAGGTGTCAATCGGCACGCCTCCATCCAGCAAATCCGCTCCGCCTTCTATGCCCTGGCCAAGCGCTATCATCCCGACTCGACGCACTCGGAGCAGAAGCTGAAGCACTTCCAGGAGCTGTCCAACGCGTACAACATCCTCACCGACGAGACGAAGCGTTTGGAGTACGACCAGCTGGGTGGGATTAAGGATGAGCGAGCCTTCCTGGAGCAGGCGGGCAATCCCATGAATGTGGACCTCGAGGAGGCCAAGAAGTTTGACTCGGAGAAGTCAACAAGTGATGGTGAGTAGTGGAAAACCAGATGAGCCTCATTTAATATTCCCCCTCCAGAGATTAGCAAACTCAAGAGCAACGAGTTCGAGCTGCCGCTGGACTTCATGGAGGCCACCGTGGGCTGCAAGAAGCGGCTGGAGCTGCGCTACCTGCGCAAGTGCGAGACCTGCAAGGGCAAGTCGCAGCTGATGGCGCACCGGGATGTGGGCAAGGAGCCGTGCCGGCGCTGCAATGGCACCGGCAAGGTGACCACCAAGACGGCCACCTTCTCTGCGGTGAACACGTGCACGCAGTGCAAGGGAAAGCGTTTTACGAATCGCAATGACTGCGAAACCTGTGCGAATCGCGGCTTTGTGGTTTCCAGCGTGGATGTGATGGTGGCGGTGCCATCGGGATCGCGGGATGGGGATGTGGTGAGCCTGGTGAATCCGGCCAACAAGCAGCAGGTCACCTACCGCCTCACGGTGCCCGGTAGCGAGTATTTCCGGCGCGTGGGCAATGATATCTTTACGGATAAGCATTTGAACATCTCCGAAGCGATCCTAGGTGGAACCTTCCAGGTGCGCGGCTTGTACGAGAGCGTGGAGCTGCGCGTGGAGCCGGGCACCCAGTCGCACACCCAGGTGCTGCTCAAGGGCAAGGGCGTTCGCTGCAAGGAGGGCGTGGGCCACCACATCGTCACGTTGAAGGTGCGGATTCCGAGGAATCTCTCCGTAAAGCAGCGCCAACTGGTCTTGGCTTTGTCCCAGGCGGAGGATCCGGTCTTTGAGCCGAAGACTAAGACTATAGGCAAGGAGCCCGGCAACTTGAGTCCCTAAAATTCTCTATGTGCAGACTTAATTCCGTTTATAATTATAATATAATCTCCTCAGACACACGAAATATGTATTGGTTGTTTAAGTCGCCTTGCCTTCTTTATGTTGATGCCCCACTGGGAGTCCGACCAGCGCTCGCGCCACGCCACATAGATGAGCTGGAGGATCTTGTTGTTCTCCTTCATCTCGCGCGTCCGTGGATATCTAAAATTTATTTATTTCTCGTATTTCTCGCGATTTGTTTGACCTAAACTTTTTCCGCTGTTTTCTTTTTTGAGCACCGCTGTCAGTGATGGGCGAAACCCGATGCCGCATTAGGGATGGAACCTCCGATAGATATCGATAACTGCGGTGGAGTGTTGGGCAACACCTTAAATTTAAACTTTGCCCGCCTTTCAATTTTAATTTAACCCTTGGTTTTTTAAAAACTTTTTTAAATCAATTAAGAAATTTCAACTACACACATTAATTCAAATAATTTATTGAATACAATAAAGTAGCGTATGAGTTTCGTTTGTAAACTGTTTTCCTTTTAAATATTATGTTCTAAAATATTTGACTTTGTACAAAATATATCCTATTCATATATGCCGAAAATTGTTCCTCCATTGCACTCCGATTTTTTCGAATTTCGTTTTCACTCATCTGTCACTTGCTGAATGTTTGATTTTTAAATTGAAGATTAAATACATAGGTGTGTTTGGGTGATGTGCTTAGTCCGAGATATTTCGATTTTGGTTAAACAATAGCTAGGCGAGAACTTTACATTTAAATCGAGTTCGGTGGATTGTCAAGGGATGATGGGATGGTAAAAATAAAACCAATTTGCAAAGGCCGTTTATTTTGTATATAAAAAGCAGGCAACTCAAATATCAAAAGCCAATCTATAAATCGTTTTAAATTATTAATTAACAACTAACTTAGGAGTGTATGACAAAAGCATTTCCTATTCCAATGGCAGCGCCAGGAACGGGGGCTTAGAACTAAAAAAATTGCTTGGGTTGGGAAAGGTTGCTGCTGGTAGAAAACGAGGAAGAATCATCGCTGACAACGTTAAGAGCTAAATTAAGTCTATGACCTATTTATTTACTTAAATACGCTTGACGCCACAGAGCCACCGTCGCTAAATCATCATCATCGTCGCCAGTCGCCAAGCATCATCGCAATCACTTTGCATCATCGTCCATAGTACTTTGAGGAGTGAGTTTCGTTAACCATCTCTGCATCTCTCGTTCTTGATCCTAATCCTTGTGTGTCTAAGCGGAGGAGGCGGAGGAGGGACCGGCGGGCTCGTCCCCCTTCACGGCCGACGCATAGGAGCCGCCTGGTTTGTCCCCACCACCGCCACCGGAAAGAGGAGCCGCCGCCTTGCCATCACTGCCACCACTTCCGCCGCCGGTTGCTCCGCCTGTAGCAGCACCTGCACCTGCACCACCGGGCGGAACGCCGGCTGCTCCGCCGATGCTCACGCCACTGTTCAGGCCTAGAGTTTGAGGTGAATCAACTAGAGAATTTGTTTCGATTGTGGGTTTGGTTGGGATGTGTGTGAGTGTGGAGTGTGTGCGAGAAGCGAACTGTTTAAGCACCTTTGATATCCATGGCGTAGTGGTCCTCCAGCCGCAGGTCGTGCCTCTTTATCAGCTGGCTCTCGGCGCCCTCGACGGTGGGAATGGAGTACACGTACAAGTACCCATCCTGCGAGGCAATCAGCAGTCTGTAAGGGAAAGAAAAGGGTAAGTTAGTATCTGATTTTAAAGATTTTTAACTTGCTCTTAATTAATAACCCATTTTAATGATTTTATAAACCCAATGGGTATTTTATTTTAATTTTTAATTGGTACTAATATCATACAAAATTTATATTTTAAAGATTTTTAACTTGCACTTAATTTATTAACCATTTTAATGATATTATAAGCCCAATGCGTACTATATGTAAATTCGTAATTGGTACTAATATCATGAAAAATATATATTTTAAAGATTTTCAACTTGCACTTAATTGATTAACCATTTTTACAGGTATTTTTTAAACTGATTGGTATTATACAACATTTATATTTTACAAACTTTTCTTTAGAACTATCATAAATATCATAAAATATTTATTCCAAGTATTTTTCTTTCCAAACAATTGAAAATTTTCGCAGAAAATGGATATAGGTATTTTAAACTGAAAAATCCTACCAGGTAATTGCTCATTTACTAGAAATACCGATCGAAGGACTCACCTTAGCTGCTTCTGTATCGTGGTTATGGCGCACATCCTGCGCACTCCCGCCTCCGGCAAAGTGACCGAGGCGAAGGCCCGACCTTGGCTAAACACGTCGGTCACCTGCGTGGGCAGGTAGCTGGTGACCGTTTTGCTCAAGAATCTAAAAAACGAGTAACTTGCATGAGAGAGTAGATTTGGTGAGTGGTTGTGGTTGAGTTGTGGTTGTTGTTGTTGAGGTGGTTGGTTGGTTCGTGTTTGGTGGTTTCGAAGGCAAAATGAAAGAAAAGAAAAATAGATAAATGTCAAGTGCCACACGAGAAGTAGAAAAAAATCGAAAAATAATAAGCCCTATTAAAAAGATACTCCAATCTAGTTTCATTTTGAAAATCCACTTTTTATAACTGGTTGTGACTAACTAAAGATTTTTAAGATCCCCAGTAGGTACTTCAATTTTTTGTTTATTTTGTTCTGACTTTTTAAAAGTGATATTAAAGTATTTGGTTGGAAAACCTATATTCTGATTTCGGAAACGATGATTCTCTATTAGAAACAATGTTTTCAATTAGAATTACATTTTTAAAAAAATGGTTAAAAATGAAAGGAAAATGTGCATATGAATTTATCGATTAATTTTAAACAGTTCGAATGGATCCAATATTATCTGGTTAAATAGTTATTTATACAGATAGGATATGAAGTCAGGAACTAGCCATATCTAACACATAATTTTGATATTGAATGAAATATTACGAGAATTTAGAGATATGAACGCAAAATGCTTGAAATAAAAATGCAACTGGAAGACATGGAAGATGATGGTGGATGGGTTTGGTACAAAACAGAGTGTCTTGGGAGGTAACAGCGATTGTGTACAGAACACCCACACCTTAATACTCGACTTTTAGCCATAACCGCACAGTACAGTAGGTACAACTATCTACAAAGCTACGAAACATAAGTAAAGTTATCCGCAAAACCACCACCGCTTACCCCATCCAGTCGTCGCTCGACTGCTTGCCGCCATGCCCCTCGGCCGTTTCTGTGGCACTGCGATCCAGCCGGAAGATGTGCACCGTCTCCGTGTTGGAGCTGGATACCAGATACTCGGCGCACGTGCTGAACGACAGCGAAACGATGGACACACAGCGCTTGAGTCCGCGTCGCAATTCAAAGAGCCTGCTGCCATCCTGGGAGCTAAATACCCGGATCACCGTGCCCCTCTCGCTGGCCGTGGCGATCTCCGTGCCCGAGGGACTGAAGGCCAGGGCCGCCAGCGGTGTGTCGTGAGCGGGAATCATGGTCTTGGCGTGCAAGTTGATGGCATCGAAGATCTGAACCTCGCCGGCGGTTACGCTGCCCGGATAGGCCAAATAGCAGTGCTCCGAGGAGGAGGAGAGGGCGCACAGGCCCTGCGGATTGCACGGCGTGTCGCGAATGGTGTGCACCACCTTCATGTCCTGGATATTGTGAATGTACAGCGATTCCTCCAGGCACACAATCAATCGCTCGCGATTGAGCTTGACCGCCAGAATTGTGTTCGCATACGAGTAGTTGCAGATCTCGCTCTGCTTCTTGAAGTGGCACACCTTCAGCTTGCGAGGCGCCCGCTGCGAAACTATGGCCACCAGGGAACTCTCGAACAGACGCTCGATGAGGAAGAGCTCGTCGCTCTTCGTGTGGTAGATTTTGTCCAGCGTCGAGTCCACGGAGCCCAGGCTGTACAGGCTGTAGCCGCCACTGGTGGCCACGGCCAGGGAACTGTAATATGGAGAAGTGTGATTAGATTTATCAGTAATAAGTGGGGTCAATACAAGGGTCTTTCGATTGGGGTAAACTTTAAATAGTTGGAAAGGCTATAAAGTATTTTATGAAAGTATTTGCCTGAATCATACCAACTTTATTAGTCTTTAAAAATAAAAACCCAGTTAATAAAAACAGTTTTTAATCTATAGAGGTCTTGATAACAACGAAACAGATATAAGAATTAATAAATAATAAAATGGCCTGTTTCAGATTTATATTTAAAATCGGACGTGTATTTTTAGAAAGTTGATAAGACCTTTTAAAGGGATTTAACGCTTTGCTTAACGGTTATCTATTAACTTTTTAGAAAGGAAAAAAATTATGTTGTCTTGAAGAGAATTATTTTAAAATTTTGAATATAATTTTAACTCAGGTTCTAAAGTTGCATTATTGATAAAAAAAAACTTTTAATAAATCAACAATAATCATTATTTTTCAGTCATAATGATTATCAGAAATAATGATTATTGTGTGAGCTTTAAAATAAAACTCATAATGATACGGTCCCTGGTTTGGGTTTATTTATTTTCATTAATATTAATAATATTATTATTATGTTCAAAAATATTTAAAACTTAAAGGCCAAAAAAAATCTTGGGAAATGTAACAAAAAAAACATAAAGATAAACATTTTTTTTCCGAGTTAACTTTATGCCTTTACCGTCTCCCTTATCGAGTGTCCACTGTTACTTACGTTATGTTCTGGTTGAAGTTGACGAACACTTCGCCCGCATCCACATCGGGGCGCCCGAGCAGGCTCATCATGGTGTCTGTGTGGGAGGGGCTGAGGTCCTGCAACAGATTGGGCGTAATGCGTTAGCTTTAGCAACTATATATCCTGGCCTATAGTTATCCCGATTCCCGATGGCGCACTACGGAATTACGCGAATGGCGCAAACAAAGCGTGGGCCAAAGCAATAAATATATGTTAATAAATACAATAACAAACGCTGCACGAGTGTGTGTACACTTTTTGGGGTCTGCTGATAAAACCAGCAACAACAAACAAAACACACACACACACTCGCTTGCGAAACATATCAATACGTGACTGGGAATCGTTTATTTTTACCTCTTTGTATCGCTAGCGCCTCTGTTTCGGCACTTTCAATGTTTGCAGGACACCGCTGTCGACTAGTTGTTGGCCGAAAGACGTTTACTTAACTGAAGCTACGTAATTTTTAATGATATTTGGATTTCTTGTCGCGCAATTGTTTTTGCTCTGTTTTGCACACACACGCACGCACACCAGCACCCACACAAAGACAAGTTGGACA